GACAAAGAAACTGGACACAGGCAGACCTGACTGTCCAGAAACGCCAAGCTCAGTTACCGCAGTCTGGACAGAGAAACTGGACACAGGCAAACCTGGCTTTCCAGACACAACAGGCTCCTATACCACAGTCTGGATAAATAGGACTGGACACAGGCAGAATCAAGAGAATCAGTTACCAGAGTCTGGACGTAGAAACTGTCCAGAAACTAGAAGCTCAGTTACCACAGTTTGGAAAAGAAAACTGGATATAGGCAAACCTGTTCAGACTCCCACACTCCTGGAGTGGGAGAGAAGGTGAACTTCTGCAACAGCGAGGTGAAGAACAGGAACAGCTCCATCCTGGCCAGGCTCTCTCCGAGACAAGCCCTGCGTCCTAGGACAGCAAACACCACAGGTTAGTCCTCCTCCTCATGGTCTGTGAGTGTCTGTGCTGAATTCATCACTGCAGCACTGGGTGTCACTGTGGTTAGGCTGTATTGCCCACCCATCATGATACTTGCGAATGTTTCATATGACCCATATATGCTATTTAAATGTTCAGAATTATTTTCAATTAATTAATATCATATGCAAAATGAGACATAAACAGTGTCTTTTACAAATGAGCTGCACCCTGTGGTCCTGTACCTGCAGAAAAAGCCATGAAGGCGTCCTTCTTCACAAACTGGCCCTCAGGGTCCAGGAAGTGAGCAGGGTTGAACTGATGAGGCGTCTCCCACTGGGTCTCATCCTGGAGCACTGAGGTCAGCAGAGGAAAGACAGGGGACCTTTGAGAGAAGAGAAGCAATAACAAGCAAAAATAAGGTTCCCTGGATCCAGAAACTGGATCTGCTGGTTTCCACTCTACTAAAATTCACTACAGCTTTATTTGAACTAAGATTTCTGTCAATGACACCTTTTCAGCCCACATAATCTTACAGAAATCTGACCAGTTAAATTGTTAGAATTATACACAGAAAAATAATTTTGCACTACTCTACTGTATATTGTCTATACCTGGTTTAGAACCAACAGTTCCAACCTTATATGTCATTTAGATCAGCCTTCATTTACTTCACTAAAGCTCACTAAGCTTCGGATGTGGGGATATTTAGCCATCAGCAGCAGCCCCCAGCAGAGTGTGGCACCTGTTGTTTCAGTCCCAGCAGCAAGTAGGGCTACAATTGTGTTTATCAGATTATCCTCTTGGAAATGGGAATCTGTCCTGAAAGCAGAATTGAAATTAAAAATTGAAAGCAGATTAAAATAAATGTTTATGAAGATGATGATTTATAACTCAGCAATTATTGTAGTATGATTGGTACTATGTATTATTTGGTTTGTAATTGATCTTTGTTGTGAAACACATGCCTTTCTCATTTAGGGCTATAATTGCGCTTATCAGATTTTCATGGAAATGTGAATCTGTCCTGAAACCTGAATAAAGAAATGTTGTTTCATGAGGATGATGATTTATAACTCGGCTATCAGTATTGTAGCAATTATACTATGTATTATTATCTGGTCTCATTAAACTGTCTGGAGTTAAAATTGAAAAAACAAGTTAGAGAATTTTGAGTCACAGATCAGATATCAATTAACATTTTTATTATTTTCTCTAGTCAGAGAGAAAAAGTGAGCTGTTTTTCCTAGCCAGTCACTGGAAAGACAGACGTCCACGGAAACAGATCCCCTCTGTTCTCTTACCCCCTGATGTTTGATCAAAAAGCATCAATAAATCCCCTTTTGTCGTTCTCATGTAAGGTCTGCCAACTTCTACAGGTGCACTGCTGAGAGCATCCTGACTGGCTGCATCACTGCCTGGTCTGGGAACTGCTCCACCCAGGATCGCAAAGTAATGCAGAGGGTGGTGAAGTCAGCGCAGCTCCTTACCGGCTGTGAGCTACCAGGCATCCAGGAGATCTACTCAGCTAGATGTCTGAAGAAGGCCAGGTCCATTCTCAAGGACCCCAGTCATCCCAGTCATCCCGAAGCATTCGGTCCAAGTCCAACAGACTACGGAACAGCTTCTACCTCCAGGCAATAAGACTGCTAAATAGCCAACCTGTAGCTCCTTTAGCAAATCACCTGTAATGGTTAGTTTTATTCAATTACTATTACATCTATTATTATGTAACCTTATTTTCATAACCTCAACTTTGTGATTTTTATGATTTCTGTGATCGTTGTGATTTTTGTGAGCTCGCGGAACAGACATTTCATTGCCAGCAACTACTGCTGCAAGCTGTATTGTTGTGCATTTGATAAATAAACTTTGATTCGTTTTGATACTTTGGATTTAAAATTGAATGTCTCGTGAGTGTATCCTGGAGACACTGTCAGTCCATTTTAACCCTGAACAGCACAGTATACAGGTTCTCTGGTGTCAGGTGGTTTTTCTGCCAAAGAAAACAATACAGCATCAGTCTGGAATACATCCTGCGGTTGTGTCTCTCTATACCACCACTCTTGTGTGCTCCCAGTTTCACCTCTCGAACCCCAGTTCACCAGTGCTCACTAGAGCCCAATTCCACTTCTCCCTTCTTGACTCTGTCCCTGATTACTGTCACTGTCGAGGCCTGTTCACAGCTCAGGGGCTCCTGGAGAGAAAAAGGTATCGGCCCTCCATTACTGGAAAGAAATAGTTTGTAATGAAACCAAATAATCAAATATTGAAAGGAAATTAAAAATGCAGTTACTGCATGCAAGGACAGGAGAGTTTGAGTACAGCAAGACTCTAAAAGAGAGTCTTTAAGGAATTGGAGAGGAAGAAACTGTGGAAAACACATGACAGAAAAACAATATATGATTAATCCTTTTATCTTCACAATGCTATTAACACCTCAGTGAAGTACTGGATTTCCTTGATGATCTTTCCCTCTCTCCCTGTTGTCATTAAGAACAATGACAACAATAACAAATCAATCTCATTCAACTGTTCCTCCATCTAATTTCTTATGACATCGTACAGATCCAGCGAGAGCAGGTTTCCTAGGATCGGCAGGGCTGGGGGACCCGGAGGTGTCTTGGCAGACTCGGGTGTCGACCCCATGAAGACATAAACCACAGAAATCACTATCGCCGCAGCCAGAGACAGCGCTACAGTGGAGACTTGCAGAAAACCTGGAAGAAACACAGCTCGCTGGTTGAAGTGACACCTTGGAATATTTGAAAAAGAGCAGGACATATTCTTATATGATTAAGCACCACAGCACTAAGCAAATACTAAATACAGAATTAATGTCTTTCCCACATTTATAATCGTCTGCGTTTCACATTTTTACAAGTTTATGCCCTCCCCTTGTTTTCATCAGTAAAATATTTGCTAGTCCAACTGGAATGAAATACTGGCATTCCAAACATAGCACCGTTTTCCAGTAGAACACTCTTTTTTTCTCGCAATTAGTACAACCATGTCTGCAATAGCACAAGCTACTCGGCTGTGCAGAACAATTCATTTTTACTATCTAGTTACAGTGTCATGATTGTTGGGGGGTTTGATTTTGAATACATCCCCCATTCTATACAGCACTTTATCCTCCTTTACCATGAGTAGGAAGTTTGCAAAATGGGATAACAGTGCTTTTATGAATGTACAAATAAACCCATTAACACGAGAAGAGAAGTGTTCAATAACGAACGGTGTAGAGCCAGTAGAACTAGTCGGTGATAGTGGCATTGCTCTGAATCTGACCAGCTCACCAATATGTACATTTCATAGATATGTTGCAGCAACAGCCTGGGTGCACCAGCGCAGACCACGCTGGACGTACAGTTGGCTTAGTTTCAACCCCTTCAAGAGACCCACGACTTTCGCTAGTGCTGTGCCGGCTGGTGCTGCTTTCGTTTCCCAGATATAGCGCCGTCTCTCTCTTTTTTTTTTTCGGGTGGTCACACGTGATTTTGACCGCTAGTTACCCCGTCCGGGCGCCCCGAGTACTCTGGGTAAGCATGTCTGCAATTGGCTCTGCTCGGGAGGGCGCCGGCTGATTTCGCTCTTAGTTTCTCAATCTGTTCGTCTTAAATATGCAAAGCAAGGGATGTTTAAAGATCAGACCCGTCTTCCGAGCTACGTGTTTAAAAATACTAGAAACTTCCTGTATTACAAGTGCTCATTTAAGCAAAGCCTATTCGGAAACGTGAAATGGCATCAGGAAGTCGTTATTTAAGGGACATTATTATTAAGTTGACCTGCTGTAGGTAGTTCATAACACATCTGCAGAACAACATTGGAAACTCTTCTGTCTCACACACGCAGACCTCGGAAATATTTGAAAATAAATATTTTTTATTTTCAAGTAAAACAATTGAACATGTGTCTTTTTCAAAACCCGCCATTTACCCATGTCTTTGTATTGGAGTAAAGTTGATGAAGTAAACTCTATTGAAACGGTAATTGAACATTACGATTACAATTTTTTTCAATTCAATTGAATTAATAATAAAGTATTCATCCCCAGGGATTCACATAATGAATGGTAAAAGATTAGATATAAGCGTCAACCTTACTCCAGAAACAGAATTTAAGTTTTGATCAAGCAGTAAGAATTATACTGTTAGTCTGCTACTCAATCTTGCCTGTGATTACTCCACGTCACTCATTGACAGTGGTTGCCCAGCTCTTTTCACTGTATATCCTGTGTATACGGTGCATAACACTATATAGAACTTTGATAACTTTTTATATTCATCTAAATGAAGTTGCATCTCTGTCTTAGAGATGACAATTCTGAGTTAATATAAAGCCCCTAAATACCTGTCGCACGCTGTTTCCACTAGTTCATAGTCATAGACACCCTTTTGTACCACAAGCACTCTTTGCACTTGACTACAGTAACTTTAATATCTTATAGAATATTAATTATTAATTAAATATTAATTATGCTCCATTGATTGCAAAACTAGTTATTATATCCTCATCGCTATTCTGTTTTCTAGGCATACAGCAGTTCACATTCTATTTACATGCGTCGCTTTTGATTGTTAAATCTTGAATCTGAAGGATTAAACTTTTTGTGGATCCTTGTCAAACGCCCGTGGGAATAAATCATTTCGTGACACCTACTAAAGAGACTCTGTCCAGACACAAGCCGGGGTATAAAACACTTAGATTAAATTTATTCGTTCATGTAATTTTATTTAAAAAAAGTTGTCTTGAGAATCATTTCAAACATTTTAACCTCTTTCATACATGACATACTACCTCCCCCAACTCTATTACAAATTTTGAAACTTTATTTTTTACTGTGATGTCACGAAAAAATAATAAGTCATGTCCAGTCACAAAAAAGGCTAGAAAAGATCTTTACAGAGGCGTTTCAGTAGCTTTATTGCTTGAAATGAGAGTAAACAGGCGAACCGCCTCGTCTCGGGACTGTGACTTGGCTTTAGTCTGAATAAGAGATGGAAATGGCCGGTATTTTGCGTGGCCGGCCTGGTGGCTCCGCGGGCCGAACCATCGGACACTTCTAAAGTTCAGAGAGAAAATTGGCTCCTGGAGAGTCTTGTGAGTTATAGTCGAGCCCCGAGCCTCCCCATCAGTCTGAGACCTAAGCCCCGGGTGAAGCTCTCATGCTGTCGGGGTGAGTTTGTGCAAGTGGCTGTTCTCTACCACGCTGGCCGTTTTGGGGGGCTCCATTTTCGGGGCCTTCCAAAACAGGGCAAATGGGGGGTTTAAGACCTTTATAACTGCATAGATCGGAATTCAATTCTAAAAAGCAGCCCCTTATACCACTGTGACACCTGCAGGACAGGTGTGGCACTAGCAGTGAAAGAGAGGTGCAGTCCTAACTAGGAGCGACAGGGGTCTCTCTCCAGCACATTTCTCTTGATTCGACCAGCTGGCCGCAAGCTAAACGAGTCCGGCGAACAGTTTTGTAGGGGAATGTCACTGAATTGGGTTCTCTGAAAATCCTTAGCCGTTAAATACTAAATTTATGATTTGGTGAGTTCAAGTTTCTATTTATCTTCAGTAGCGTGAGTGTTGAGCCCTTGTAACCGAGTGCACAGCTGTCATTCAGGAGCCGAGCCCGCCCCCAGAGTGACCTTCCTCAGCGGACACGCCCCGTCCACCTGTTCCACAGGTGCGCCCGGCAAGATGGCGGCGGGGTGAGTTTCTGCGGCGTGAGGTGCGTTTGCTTTTTATTTCTAATTTTCTTAATTTAAAATACAAAAACTCAAATTTCACTTTGAGGAAAGTAAGACAAAAATATATTGTTTATAAATATAAAGCAACTTTTGTTAATTGCATTTGTTCCTCTTTAATTTGTGTTTTAGGACGCTGAAATGAGTGTACTGTTTGAGCGTGCTCTCGAAGGTTTAGAAGTCTGCGGTCCCATCCTATCTTTCATGTAAGTATGTTTTTATAAGATAAGGTCTGTTTCTTTCAACGAAAAAAGGCTGTAGTTAACTTTCAAACACTTGCTTTCTGAAGTTAGTAGCTGTGAAATCTCCGCTTGTCGGATTCGGGCTGTAATAACGGTTTCCGCTCCAATATAATAAAACATTGTAAAGGTTTAATTTAATCATTCGTATGTTTTTATTTCTCCAGGTGAGAAAAACATGTCAAGAACGAACCTCCAGTTATGAAAGTGTTTTTCCAAGGTAAGTTCTATTTCTCCCTTGCACTATAGTGTTTGAATTTGTGCAACTCGACGAGGCAACGCGTATTTCCCGACGTTTTAACGCCAGAACGGGTTTATACTAACTATATAACTTCTGCTCCTTTCCTTGTGCTTTTGTTGAATAGAAATTGAAACTCTAAGGCGCTGGTTCTTGTTTATGGTTATTTTATTCATCTGTTGAATTCATTGGGTAAAGATGGATAATACCAACATATTTGCACGATGGTTTTCAATACGTGGAGTTAAATCGAATTTGATGAGTGGTGCTTGATTTAAATTTAAGAAGTAGAATTTCAAAAATTGAACTTTTGTTAATTGCATTTCTTCGTTTAATTTGTGTTTTAGGACGCCGAAATGAGTGTCCTGTCTGTTTGAGCGTGCTCTCGAAGTTGTAAAAGTCTGCATTCAGCGTTCTTATACTACCTTTCATGTAAGTATGTTTTAAAGACATGGTATATCTAGCTCTGTTTCCTTTGACGAAAAAAGCTGTAATTTATCTACAGTCACTTGCTGCATAAAGTTGGTAACTGTGTATCTAACTGTTAGTATCTCAGCTTTGCGGTATCGGGTTATATTTTCGCTTTCCGTTCAGAAATGATAAACGTTCGCCAAGATTAAATGTACTAATTCGTATGTTTTCTTAGTTCTCCAGGTGACAAAGGGATTTCAAAAACCGGCCTCCAGTTAGATTTTTTTTTCCGAGGTACGTTTTATCCTTATCTTTTGCTATACTGTTAATATTTGTGTATTCAAGACGACACGTATTTCATAGCTTTTTAGCACCAGAACGGTTTTATTTTAAAGTTATCACTTCTTTTCGTTTAGTTGTGCTCTTGCTGAATACAAATAGGAAACACTAAATCTTTTTTATGGATTCTTTTATTCATAATAGACTGAAGCTACTTTCTAAATATTGGAGTAGTGGGACTGGGATGTATCTGTGATTTCTCATGATGTTACCTACTGGTTTCTTGTTGAATTTGAGCGTGTTTGTATGTTTCTTAATTCAGGCAGCTTATGTGTAAAGTGAATAGACTTCAGAACTTAGTTAATCGATTCTGCAAGTCCGATATCTTGTTAACTTGATCCTTTTTCTTTTGCCTCCAGTTCTTCGGTTCCTGCTGCTCTGCGCTCCGACGATCTCCTTTCCAATCCACTCCAGCAACTCGACGAGCGTTGGCAGGTTCTTCTTGACAATGTGTGCTTTTTCTTGAACTTTATTTTGATACCCGTGGCTTGATCTGTAATGTACCCTTTGTATACCGATATATATTATTGTTAACCTGCATGTTTCATGTTGACTGCTGCTATTGTATGTGCTGCGGCTCCTGGTTCTCTGTGTTCCGACGATCTCCGGCAATTTATTCTTGACAATGTGTGCTTTTCCTTGATTTTTTTTTTGTATCGGTGGCTTGATCTGTAGTGTACCCTTTGTATACCGATTTATGTTATTGTTAACGTGCATGTTTCCTGTTGACTGATGTTATTGTATGTGCTGCAGCTCCGGCAATTTATTCTTGACAATGTGTGCTTTTCTTGCTTTTTATTTTTGTTACCAGTGGCTTGATCTGTAATGTCCCGATTCAGTGCTGTATTTTATTCTTGACCTGCATGTTTTCTGTTGACTGCTGCTATTGTATGTGGTGTGAATTCTGCAATAAAAACTCTCGTTTCATTGTCTGCATTGTCCTGTATTTTCGAAGGTGCGAAGGGTTGTCTTGCAGCGTGCGCCACGCACCGCAAGGCGACACCCCATCGCACTGACTTGGAAAAGTGCGAAGACGCCCGCCTTTTTAGATAGTCTCTGGGGGAGGAAGGGTCCCTAGGGGGGAGCGTGGGTATAGCCCTGGGGGGAGGAGAATGGAGGATAGCTCTAGCCAAGCCCCCTCACTCCCAGCAGGAGGGGAAGGCAGGCTGGAGATGGCCTCGGCCCGAGAGAGAGGAGGCACCCAGGGCGGACTCAGCCTATCAGTCACAGCTTGCAACTGACAGCTTTCTAAGTCCACACCCCAGGAGACCTGCCTCTCTGCAGGGACCAAAGCCACCACCAACCTGCCATCCTCTCCTGCCGGGAGCGAGTGGGCTTGGCTAGAGCTGCGGTCAATCAGCCAGCCCCCGCCTACCCCTCTCCAATGAGGGGGGGTGGGCGAGGCTCGGCTTGATTGCTACCACACCCCGAGAAAAACCCCAGATACTAAGTTTTTTGGCGGGAAAATCTGGACACGCTTAAAAAGGGGGTAGCCTTTGACCTTTTCAAGTCAAAAAGCGATAGGGGGCCCCCTTGCGGCCACAAACTGTTAGCAAAATCTCTCCGCCAAAAAACTCACCAACACCGGGGTTTTTCAGGGCCAAGGGGGTAAAGAACTCTGCATGAGAACAGAAACAACAAAACACATCAAACTCCAATAAACAATTTATTGAGCGAAAATTGCATACAACATAAAGCATTCCAATATGACAGATGCACAGGTTTTGAAATGAAAATTAGCATGCATTTAAATGACAGTGTCAAAACACAGCTGGGTATTTAAACGCTACATTGAAGTTTACAAGCAAGCAGAATACAAAACGATTTGCACGCAACTATACAGAAAAGCACAGATACATACAACACATTACTGTTTCTCCAAGGGATCTGTCGAGGCAGTGACCAGAACGAAGATTTGAACTTCTCTGCATTTCCTGTACAACAAAAGAAATCAGTATTAGCTGTGCTCAGGTGAAAGAGCTTTCTGTTACAGATAGGATCTCGAAATTATCCTAGCTAGAAAGATCGACCTTGCGCGACTAATACGTTATCAGATGAAAAACGTTATCAGTTAAAAAAGCGAAGTTGCCAGTTTACAGTAGCTTTGGGTGCCCCAAAATGCTCCGGTTTAGAAGGATTTAAACTTTTGAATTGAAGGTGTGCAAATACCTAAAGCAGGCTACATATCTATCAATGAATTATATTTCCACGACGTTTAGCTTCAATAGTATTTTTTGCAACAAATTAACACATGAACAATACATTGTAAACTCTATCAAATTAATGGCGGTAAATTCAAGTTTTAAATCTTCCTTGTAACAAACATTTGTGATACAATTTTGGAAGCGAAAACGGTTTCACGCACACCGCCGCAAGTCTAAAAACAATCATCCTAGTTTTAGCAAAACGTGTGTTCTATAGGCAGCAGGTTCACTTTTTTGCTTCTGGTCAGCAACACTTGTACCGAGGAATAGTTAACACAAAACTATCTAGGTATCTTCTAATTTGAGTTTTCGTTTGTAAAGTTGCTTCTCAACGCCCTGTTTTCAGGATAGTTTTCAAGACATACCTATGGACTAAGAAACAAAGGTTTATACTTACGCTTATACTCCGAGTAGTTAAAAGCCAAGCTTGTCCTGCCAAAAGCCACCAAACTGAAAACACAAAAAGAGTTTAGGAATTTAGAACTCAAAGGTTTTTACCACTAATATAAGAACCTATATCGTCAATACCAAACCGCAATCAAACGAATAACATTAGAAAAACCGCTATTTCCCAAAGAAAATACATGCTTTACAGCATTCTTCTGCGAGATTTTGACTACATAATTAAAAATTATATAATTATTTGTCTACATGTAAGTAAAAGAAAAATAAAAAAAAATACTCAATAAAAGTCGCGCAACAAACTCACTCAGCTCTCTTCTCTCCAGCAGCACCTGGCGATCAGGTAGACGGGGCGTGGCCTGCGAGGGATGTCATTCATGTGGGCGTGGGCACAGACTGACGCTACAAGTAGCTTTTTTTCTGCTTTTGAAATATACTTGAGCGAAATGTTTAAAAACACGTAGGTGCTCACTTCTCAGCAGGACACTCCCTATTCTACTATCCGGTTTGCCCCAGTGTTGCACCAAGATATGTGACGTCTCATCTGTAAACGTTTATCACACACTGCTCAATTTACTGCCTCTGTACGTATTATTAATCTATGCAGCTAATGTGTTTAACTTGGAAAACAAAAGGCTGTGAAGAAGACAAGGCATTCAATCAATGTAGCTATTTGGTTTCCTGGGCAAATTTACCCCTGGCCATTACCAGCCATGAGCTCCTTATACTCCCCATCTGTGAACTGGCTTCATCACTCTGCTCTCCTCCCCACTGAGAGCTGATGTGTGGGGAGAGGACTGGAGCATCATCCAGGTGGGGCTGCACACTGAGTCCCTACTTGCACTTTGAGTGGAGTGTCCAGAAAAAGCACTGCATAAATACACTAATTTATTATGATTGATTATTATTAGATGTGTTGTATGCACAACTTCATTGAAAACCAAGAGGGAAACTGAGATTAAGCAAAACAATTCTTCTTTACACAATTGTTCGTCCTAGCACAATCAACTGGTCCAGTGAAAACTTCCAGTCTTCACAGTGTCCCCCTACTGTTCACTAAAAGATGTGGCAGTGGTTTTGCCTGAATTCCCAATTCATGCAACAAAAAGCATGAGAAAATGTTTCCTTCTGATGTGAGACTAAAGCATACCTAAGTACTGTGAATCACCCACATACCGAGCGACCTTGCTGCACGCTGGTGAGATTCTTTTAAGAAACAAAATAATAAGCAGAAGCATCAGCCAGCCTTACGTTCTGGAGAACTGAGGGCTCTGTTGACAAAGGCGGAACTGCTGCTGCCAGGAGGCTGATCATAATTTCCAAAGGAAGCTGTGGAGTGAAAAAAAAATACAATCAAAACACACCTAGTCCTCAGTGATCTTGTTTTCACATTAAAACTCGAAGCTTCAAAGCCCACTCAAAGACAGGCGCACAAGCACACAACAAAAGGACCGCGTTCACACACTGAGACACTAGAAAAAAAGATTTTTGTTAAGCTTTTGAAAAAGAGCAGTTGCTTACAAAAGGTGTGCTTCTGTATAGAAAAATGTAACTTGCTTTGCAGAACGTGTTCCCTGCAATGCAGGCAGCTTGTCTCCGAATATATCAGGTGTGATCTGGCTTGTTACTACAAGGTGGACTCGAGTACTCTGTGTGTAACCTGTGCAAGCAGAGTTACTGTTTCATGTTCAGACACACGGGGTCACGGCCGAAGCTGGCAGCAGTCCCAAACACTAGCTAATCCTGGGTTTTCATGTTCATCAGAACCGTGGCTTATGGTGGGAATTTAAAACAACCAGTAAAAGCAGATTTAGGAGCCATAAATTGAGGAGCGCAGTATATTTTCCTGTGCTGTGAACTGACAGAACAGGCAGGTCCAGAGTTGTGGTTTATGCTGGTTACTATGGCTCCTCCATTCTTCTGTGCTCAACAGTGGGGATTTAAAAGAGCCTGAGGAACAATAAGTCCTGTCTGCTACTGCACACCAGGGGGTAAGGCTGAGGGCTGGCTGTTTGCTCAAGCTGGGGCTGTGGTTGCTCTGCCAGCTCCAATCCACACAGCTCCAGGAGCACCAAGACTAAACACAGAGAGAACACACTGGACTGGATCCTGTTTCCCACTTGCTCTGGGCTGCTGTACACCTGGTCTTTGTTTTGAGTCCCACACAGGCAGTGGCTTGTATTGCATTTGGAGTATGATCCATGTCAGGTTTTCACAGAGTGTATGGTCTTTGGTTATAAGGCAAGTAATATTAAATGTTTTCAGTCTATTTGTGTTAATATGCATTGTCAGAGTCATTTGAGATATTAAATAAGATATTCAATTTGTATCTAATATTAAAATATGTTTCACATTTCCACAGCAGTTTGTACAAGCTGCAACATAAAAAAACCAGATATGTAATAAGGTACTTTTACTTTCTCTGAACCGCATTATGACTTTGAGAATGTTTTGATGCCTAAATGATCATGATCCTAAAAAAAGAGCACAAAGGCCAAAAACGTTTACTTAAAATTTTATTTGTTTCTGTTACACACTGTACAACATACCGTCCCATAAAGTTACTGCAAATATGCAGTGAGAATCCTTACAGGTGAAATGCTTTAATAAAAGAGGTTCCTATCCTTTCCTACCAGTTTTCAATAACAACATTGAACAACATAAACAGGCAACTTAGAAGTCAAAACCTCAGACCTACAGCTCAGATAAATCCTTTTTCTATTTTTTTACTAAAGAATTATCTCTATCATTTCCTGCCCTAGGATAATTGATAGGTGATGAAATTGCTATGTTCATGCTATGTGTTCCCTTTCATAATAAATATGGGTGCAAATAAAAAGGTACTAATTCCTCCTGCATTCTAACCCCCAAGTTCTGTTTCCTGACCAGCATTCAGAGAGGAGTCCCTTCCTCCATTAGCTGCTCGTATTCCAGCAGGTCTCCCATGTCCTCATCCATAGACTCGGTCAACTCAGACAGGATCACATCCAGGATCTGGTGGAACACAAACGCAAAACTGTCGCAAGGCTGGGTGACGGCTCTGACCTTGACTGCACTTTCGTGTGTGTGTGTGTGTTGGATCAGGGAGAGCAACAGCTTACTCCAGAAAACTCTGCAATCCTACCTTGCTGAGCTGTGTTAAGGAGACTGTTCTCTCCCCTGTGCTCTGGCACTACAAACATGGACCACAAGGCTTAAGAACAGCTTCCACCTGCTGAATTCCTGTGTACATGTACATATGGCAATAAGCTTCTCTACTCTACTCTTCCCCAGCTACACTGCTGCTTAGAGCATGAACACAACTCCTAGACAGAGGTGTTAGACATTTTGTTTTTACAATTTCTTTATATCAAGCTAGCTTGAACAAAATATCAGGTTAAGCAGTACAGAAGTATTTACAAACGAAGCTGAATCTAATGTGGGAAAACTACACATTTCCCATTCCTATTATATCTCATTACAATTATTGTACCAAAGAAGGAAAAACAGATAAACATTTCATTTCATAATAAAGACTTCCTTTATAAAACATTTAAACCTTTCCATGTTTGTGCATCTTTTCATGTCGCCATTGGAAGAATCCCCAACAGTCACAGACAATTTGCCATAGATCACTCAAGGTGAAATACTCCAGTGCCCTGGACAAATACATCAGAAACTTGAACATCACTGCTACACATAAGCCCTGAAATCTAGGACCCACTTTCTAAACCATGTAACAGACAGAATCACAGCCTGAGACACAAGCCCGACCCTCAGATTGGAATGGCCTCAGATTTGTCTTTCAGGCCAGACCCTCACCACATCAGTAACGATCTGCCGGTGGAGACTCCGGACAGGCGCGCTCTGCAGGGTCTGCTCTCGGAGCCTCTGGACTCTGAAGAACTGGTGGATGAACATCTCTATCATCCAGCCTGCAAAAGAAACAGGAGAACAGACTGGAAAGTAGTACTGTACCTGTGTGTTTTACTTCTTTACCTGAAGACAAGCATCTTGAAAGTCATGTGCTGCAAAAGTGTCAGTTTGAGGGTGTTTCTAAATGTTTGGATAAGGCTATCGTCCTTCTAAATAGTCTAATAATAAGTATAAAAGTCCACTTCTGAATATAACGTCTATCAATGCACTAAACTGTTATGAGAAGCACTACTGCTGCAGCCATCTGGACCGTGTGAGGTGTCAGTCAGTATACAGTACTGCAGTAAGAGCATTTACATTGGTGGTGGTGGAGGGGAGTCCCCATCACCTGTAAAGCGCTTTGAGTGGAGTGTCCAGAAAAGCGCTATATAAGTGTAAGCAATTATTATTATTATTATTTAAGTCAAAACGTAAACGGCCTTTGCTTTCCTATAAAGAGAACTCTTCCACACACTTAAATAATAGTCACACATGTGGAGGTTAAAGTAAATGTAATTGTAACTGTAAATACATTAGTTAACTGTTCCAGTCTGTTTGCAGACTGCCTTCACCCCAGATATTACTACAGTACATGCGTCTCTAATGCTTTAGGCAGTTGAAAGTTTTAGAACAGTGGCTGTGTGTGGTGAGAGATCACCTAAGGTAACGACATTCCCTGTCCTGGGCCCTTAAATAAATGTTGCCTTTAATAAATCATAAAAACTCCATGTCCTTTTTGTTGAATACATGTGGAGGGGACATATCCAGCTATATAGATGACACCTACTGTCCAAGAGCCTCCCTGACAGTTCCTTTTCCAGAAAGCACTGTCCCTGGCTGGCCGCCAGCTCCACCAAGTGACCCATCAGGAACACGTCCAGCAGCCTTTTGGTTGCATAATGACTGACCTGCGGAGTAAAAGCCGCAAGAAAGCACACACTGCAGCATGTACAGGGGACCTCCTCATTTACATCTACAAGCAGACTGGAAAGACGGGAACAGGAACATGCTTATTTTTACTAGATTTCACGAAAACTGACCATGAAAAGCAGAGTGCCTAGCTGCATTAACCTGCATCCTCAGGTTTCTTTTCCATTCCACAGTCAAGCATCTTCCACTCAACCTGAGCATTTGAGCTAATGTTTTCAGGCTTCAAAATAATTACAAATGTCAAGGTTTTTAAAACTCAGCACTTTCATGTCTAAAACGGATATATTTTGATTTATTTTCCACGTAGTTCTGCATATGTCACAGATAATCAACGGTATTTAACAAATCTGAGGTTCAGAGTGAAGCTACCCTGATGCCAATTGGACATATCTTACAGTACATCACTACCATATCTACAAAACCCAGTACAGGACACATAGCTTGCTCTTTTTAGTAAAGGAGATAAAAAGGATGTGCTAAAAAGCACAAAATATTAATATTCATACTCAGAGGACATTTTAGAGGTAGCAAAATCAATCTTTAAGTTCTTCATCACCTGTATTATCAGTGACAGAAACTGGTTGGAATTAACCTCTACCATATTGATGGCTTTTTTTAGCAAGTGTCAGAATGTAATCATTAATTAATCCTACAGAGTGTGTGTGTATTTAAACACTTACTTGCAACCACTACACTCGTGGCATATCCATTTCGAACTGGTATTACAAGGTCTTTCACGCTTTAGAAAGCTACACAGAACAGAAAGCCGGATATAAGCGTCCGTGCGCTGTACCTGGGCGAGCTGGCAGGCAGCGGTCTCGGAGTCGCGTTCAGCCAGCACCGACAGGGCGACCTCCCTGGCCTCCTGGGCCACCACCTCCGGGAGCAGCTCGGCCTCCAGCTGGGCCTCCTCCTGGGCCGCCCTCGCCTCAAGCAGACCGAGCACAGACGCCACATTACCAGCCCGTTTCCTGCTAGACCTCCACAATATCCGCCCATCGTCAGAGAGCGACTTATTCGTGGCAAAGCCGGAGCCTGTCCAGACAACACCAGCCCATCGCAAAGCACACACCAGTCCAAATGACAGATGTCATTTGTCATCTGAAGCCTCCTCCTTCCAGAATAGAGATGGAATAACAGTGTTGCATGACCGTGTCACAATCTGTTTCTTCATTGAGAGAGATGGGGCCACTGAAGCTCAAGAAGGTCCTATGCCTTCGCTTCTCTTGAAGGGACACAGCGGATTATCTGCTGTTTTCTGAAAGTGTTTTTTTTTATTCAAGAATGAATGAGCAAAGGAAGTTGAAGCATTTACGCTTCTAACCGTTTGAACTTATGTTTTCGGGATATATAATAATTGTGAATACCTTGCATTTGTCTAGTATTTTTCATCCTAAAGGATCCCAAAACACAATTTACACAAAGTGGCTGCAGCAAAAGCTTAGCAGAGCACCTCAAATGGTTGTGGAGTTTATTAACCTCAGCAGCTCACAGACTTAATGCAGTTATTGCCGCAAAGGCATGTACAACCAAATACTGACTTTTCCACTCTGCAATTAACTTAGAATCAACAGAAATCATAGGGCTGAACGCAATGTATGTGTTCTAACATAAACATATCTATATATAGAATTACCCAAAAATAAGCTGCATGTTATACATATTATTCATATTAATTTAATTGTCTCAAACACACATGCTAAAAAAAGCTCTGCGTTTCTTCTGTCAATATTCTGGCACTGTATGTGCGTTAACAGTAATGTCAACTGTTTCCTTTGGCTGAAAGTGAGTTAGTGAAATCAGAGATGACGATTTATGCTGGACAGCTGTCCTCGGCTGACTCACAGAGAAGCGCCAATGGGAAATCGTTCGACTTCGCCGGGTCCCCCCGCCACATGAGGTCGGTCAGCGGGGGCTTACCACTTCCAGGAGGAGGAGAGCCAGCGTCTCAGACAGGACGTCCGAGGCGCAGTGGTGGACAGCTGCCTGGGCCAGGTGAGTGTCCACCAAGTCCTTCACTGAGGTCCGGATCACTTCTGCGGACACGTCGTGCAGCACTTCCTGCAGAAGCTCATCGAGCACCCAACCGGACAGCGGCATCAGGCTTTCCACTGCAGTCGCACTGCCCCTGGACCTCGAAGGACATGAAGAGCCTTGCCGTCTGGTATAATAGTAACTTCACTGTGACTTTCTGGCTTTGCACTATGTGTAAACTATGGAGGCCTTTTTAGCACAGGTGCAAATCACTTTCAACTGCTCCTTCACAAGCAAGCTCTTCAAGGTAAATCAACTGTGATGACAAGGCCTGAAGGGGGTTTTACAGACTTCACAACACTTTTCCACCTTTATTTCTTTTGCACACATGGCCTCAGGAGGTCAGTATGTTCGCAAAAACAGAATTTACAGTACCAGAAGCAACATCTAAAGTTTAAGAGACGCTTCAGTAATAGAAGCAGAGCTGCCAATCATGGTTCCTACAGTGTGCTCTAGGATGATGGTCTGATTGTTCCTGGTTTCCTTCTTTGTTTCTCTGTGAAGGGTTATGGTGGGCAGCCTAGCCTGTTTTCCAAAGGAGTGTCATTGTACAGAGGTGACAAGAACAACCACATTTCTGCATGGCTTTTCAGCGACAGGAATCAGAATTTCCATTACAATAATATGAATTTGTGCATTAAAAATGATATTTTGTGTGCAGCTTTAGGCGTTAAACTGGGAATCACACACAAATGTTTGTTATTGTACACCTTCCTATAATTATAAACTGCTTTTAAAAAAGAAATACGAAACTTACCCTATATGTCTGCTTCTCTTTGCAGTGTCTTTAGCAGCGTGTTTCACAGAAAAGCCCTGGAGCCAAAGCATGAAGAGAGAAAGTCAAGCACTGGCCAAACAATGAGTTAATTCCAGGATGGCACTATTCTTTCATACACAAAAACACGCCTCTGTAGATGAAATACTGTATGAGCAACTTGAATGAAGCAATGACAAGTCAAAAACAGGGAGCAGGACACTGTATGGACCAAAAAGGGAAACATGGGGAAGAAAATAAAATGCACATTCTACACATTTCAGTTAGTTTGTAAAATAGAGATTATAGACCCTCATAGCAAATAAAAAGGGAGCAGATGTGAAGAAAATGTGCCTGAAAAGCTGACATGCAGTAGACCACAGTGAGACAAAAGGTGTGTTCAATCTGACCTGGGTTTGGAGGTGCAGAGCAGCGTGGTGCTTGAGATAACAGCTGACAGGCAAAGAAATGACAACGTCACAGGGTATTGTGGAGCTAGGGACCTGACTGCAGCCATAACAGCAGCAAGGGGAGAAAATACTAATGAACCAGAGATCGTGTCCAACACCTGTACAGATTCCCTTGAAAACACCTCAATCAGCAGGTCTGGGATCAGCTCATCACACAGCAGCTCTCGGATGAGGGAATTCACGAACTGCTGGGCAAAGGCCTTATTCTCCATGAAATGCAAGGCTGCAGCGTGATCCTGAAACGAAATCAAGACAAAAAGTGCTTTAAAGACCAAGAGCAAGAGCAAGAGAGGGCTGAGCTGAGCCAACACAACCTCACCCCAAATGTTCAGGGCGGATTTTTGTTTTTTATCTCCCCCAGTAACACTAAAATAATAATCTCTGCAGGTGACCCTGAAGTTCTGCAGATGGCACTTGGCGGAAATTCAGAGTGCACACACACACTGTTAACAAGAAAGCACCCTCTTTTCACAAAGGAGCTGGGTGTCTGGAACTGCTCACTCTGTCCAGTCCTTTCAAACAGTCAGGAGGGATTCTGAGACTGACTGGCAACTCGGCCACCCAACAAGCAAGCTGGCCTTGGTCGAACAGGACAAACTGTTCCATCTGCAGGGTTTCCAAGCGAAAGTGAAGTTATTTTCTACCCCCTCCGGATGTCCAGTACGGCTTAAGAAACAGAGTGCCCTTACAGGAATTCTTTCTCCATTTGACATTCGTGATCCTGTTGCCTGTGTCTGGAGTCCTTGATCTGCTGCAAAAGGATGAAGAACAGACCAACAAATTCCCCACAAAAACATCCACACCCAAGGCAGAAATGGCATTTTCAGAGATATATTATTCATGTTTTTTCGGCCACATTTAAGCCCTGTAGTAAAGGCTTGATCCGGCTCTGGGCTGAAGTTAACCTGCTCATATCCAGGTTTCTGCTACAGCCTACCTGCCTTTCCCGCTGTGCTCGCTGCCGCAGAGTGGATTGTGCCAAGCCTCCCAGTCGCTTCTCTGTTTCACTCTGTGCGTGCTCTGGGCTGGGTCTCTCAGCGACACGTGCAGCTGCAGCTTCGTGTTTGCTCCTGTTAACAAGAAAACATCTTTTTTCTGTCGAGCCCGTTGTCAAGCTCTGGCTGACAGAAAAGAAAGACTCAAACAAAAGCTATCGGTCTAAAGATAAGATCTATAATTGTTACAGCTCAGGGGCATCAAAATGTTTATGTTAAAAAGGGTACTATTTGAGTGTTTTCACAACTGCCTGTGGTTTTTGAAACAGTCAAATGTTTGATGGATGATCCCTGTGGATTAATAATATTCTACCCTAGAAAGTATTAGAATACAAATGTCATTATTTTCTGAAAATAAATTCTGAAACAGTTTTTGGCCAATAAAACACAAACCAGTCAGGATGTCTCAGCAACTTTACCTGCCATCTCCAGGATGATGAGGATCTCGGCTTCTCACTTTCCTCCTCTGGTCTTTCAGGCTGGGGGACAGTGAACAGAATAGGTTGGGATATTAGGTGGTGTTTTGTAGCTCAGTTACCCCCCAGACCTGCTTGAACAGCTACTGTACTTTGAAACAAAAAACATTTTTCAAACCCTTCTAAAAAAAAACTCAGAAGAAACAACCACTTATCACTGAGTTTCTATACACGTTTGAGCATTAACTGGCCTTACTAATGAGAGTGAGTAAGACTGTTAACTTTTTAGTCCTATTCTAGCACAGAAGTCTAAATATCATACAGCATAAAGCACATACACGTACAATATGGCAAATTATAATTTGGGCAATCATATTGAATACAGTGTTTCATTACAACAAAACTGAAAAGCACCAATTGATTCATTTGAATATTTCTTTATATTATTTTCTGGGAGCAAGCCTTCCAGACTTAATGGTTACCTGGGCAGGTATGTGGAGGTGCGGTGTTTCCTTCTGTCTTTCTGGTTGGCAGATGGGGACGCAGAGACGAAACTGCTCTCACCTGTGCTGGCCACTGTGCTGAGTTTCTGCCGAATCCGCGTCACGCTGAGAGAGACACACACCAGGTTTCAGGCACCAAGCGCTGCCCAAGCAGACACACATACTGTAACCCTGTGGCTTTTCAATTATTTTCCCACAGGAGGCAAAGCTAAGCAAAAGTGACAAAAATACCATAACGAGGGTCTGCAGTACATTCTCCTGTAGCAAACAAGCAACACAAAAGGAGGCACAGATATTAGGAGGAAAGACACAGATTCCTGCAAAGTACAGGTCCCAGAGGTGTGCCGTTGAGGTAGACAATGGTGATGTCAAACAGGTTCACCTTTCTTGCAGCTCCGGCCAGCTTTTTTCTACCTTCTTCAGCGCCATCAAAGGTCTAAAAAAAAGACGAACAAATTTCTATTGAGAAACATCTTTAATCCGGAGCAGATGTGGAACATAAAATGAGGAAGAAGATGCAGAATAGAGCGGAAAATACAGAGGATTTAATCAGTTTCTACTGGTGATTCCGGTCGTGGGGAAACAGAAGTTGGTTTGTTTACAAACAAAGGAAAATGAACGTGTTCCTAAATTGAAAAATTAGCAAGGAGCTAGACTGCCAAGAGTACATTCCTGAGCTCTCTACCCCCCCTGCACACGCTCGGAGCTGCAAAGGAGGAACCCCAGAGCTGTGTATGTCCATGGATAGAGAACCAGAGTGGATCGCTAGTCTGTTCCCTTCTGAACAGCTCTGAGAGAACGACAGCAGGCCGGGGGCCAGGGGGCACGGAGCTGGCACGGCTGACCCCTGAGCGTGGCGACACTCGGGGCCCAGGGCCTCCGCAGGGGCTGGAGAACCCGGCACCAAGTCGGGGACCCCCAGAGGTGTGTACAGCAGGGCACGACGCCTTGGCCCCGGGCAGGAGAAGATATAGCGCCATACGGATGCAGTCTGGAAGTCGAGGCTTACAGCATGAGGGACAAGGTGGGCACCAGCGCCAATCAACGGAGCCGAGTCACCCCAGTACATATGTTCTCAATAACATCTCACCTCCCCAATTATATCATCCCCTTAATTTACTAGAGCCATTGATTGGTTTTTATGCCATAATAGTGATGGCACATCAAGATTAACAGCTGTCAAATGATCAATATTCAGTTTCTCTGAGCTTTACAAGCGCTGCATAGGATACACTGCTGCGACACTCGGGCAGTTTGTTTTTTATCTAGGAACGAATATATTTAGTATATCTCTTGCAATGTTAGTCAACCACACGAGTTTGAAGACTCGCAAAACATAAATGTTTACGTTTACAGTAACATTTTCTTCGTGCTTCAGGAGCACAACATACACTGCTGTAACACTCGGCCAGATTGTTTTTAATGTAGGAACGGGTATATTTAGTATATTTCTTGCAATGTTAGTCAACCACACGAGTCTGAAGACTCGCAAAACGGAAATAGGTTTTTACTCATTCGGTTGCAGTGTTGCATGCGAGTCCTTCATGCAACAGCCTTCAAAGCAAATGAAAATGCTGGCACAGTGCGAGGTGCACCGGGTTAAGCAAAACTGGGAGGAAAACGCTTACGTTACAAATTGATACCTTTTATTGTTAAAAATACACATTACCGTTTTTAAACCGCGTGAGTTTCCAGAAGAGGAGATCAAATGGTCCGATCTGCAAACGCGATTGCTTCGATCTCAGTTCGTGATTTCGATTGGTCAGGGGTAATGCACCGTATTGTGGAGAGATGCAATACACTTTCTCTTAATCTGCGGTGCAAATTGGGGAGACCCGTGTAGCTGTTTCATCCGATCACCCGCACTGTTCTTATTAAGAGTCTTACCTTTCCTTCCAATCACTCAACGAGTAGAAACATCTCGGGCATGGACAGTATAGTACGGGATGTGACTACTGCGTGGCACATTAGCTTGATAACATGAGTTTAAACTTGTATTCCGACTTCATAGCCGCTGGACGCCCGTGCTTTCAATTCGGTGCTTGCTACAGTATATTAGTCGCGGCTGCAGCCTTGACAACCGACACCCACAGACGCCAGTTTAAAAGCACTGGTAGCGATCATATACAGTACAGACGGACACTCCCTAGGAACAAACTTCAAGGGAAACGTTTGCGACATATAATGTGATATTTACGATTGATCTAATCATCATTTTCCCCCAGAATATTCTTATTTACTTCCCACTTTGCTTTTATTGAAATCATCCATGGTCTTTGTTCAGCTGTTCCGCGTTTTACTGCCTTTCACCGTTGTTATACTGTCCGTCTCCTGGGAGCTCATTTGTTTTTTTGTCTTGACAGTTTTCACCTAGCTCAGGAGATTCACGAGCTGTAGACAAAAAAAACTTTTTCTCTTAGATTCCCTGCATTTAAATTTGCCCATTCAGACTCCAGAACAGTTTGGAAGTCATACCACTTGTTAACTATAATGTTTAATGCTAGGTATGCTATTACTTTACATTCTTACCATGTTGTGTTTGTTTCAGGTGGCAATGATAGAGTGTAACAGACCTTTTATTATTATTTTTCATGTTATTAAAGAAAGATCAGCAGCTTCTTCAGAGTAATCCTTTTTAAGACTGGTTTATCAGCTGCAGCAAGTTTTTTTTTCTTTTAAATCTCTGAACCCTGAAATATACTGTAGGTTTTTAAATTAGTTTTGTTGTTCATCTGACAATTCCTGTCTCCACTGACATGTTTCTAAGCCTGTTTAAAAATCAGTACAGCGAGAAAGCACTGTGGCAGGGTTAGGTAGCCATTCTTCTGGTATTCATTCTGTTTAATTAATGAAAGTTATTAACTGCAGTTTGGGAGGGATAACAAACGCAAGTCAGTCTCACACAGCTGCACCTACAGCAATCAACATCATCAATAATCCAGCTACATAAGATGAACTTGAATTTGTCTCAGGCATCCTCTCCTGTCTGAGTGGGGTTGCAGCCTCCTCATTCTGTGGCCAGGAGGCTGCCCGTTCACCAAGCCGGTTAAGCCAGACTTTTCTCACCAGGTGTTCCAAACATCCACAGAGCATCCCGTTCATGGATACTGTTGTCCACTGCGAAATTGTCTTAACGATTTCAATGAGCCTTTCAGCTTTAGTATAGATATGGACTTACAGAGGCCCATAAACCCTGCAGGTCTCTGGTGCTTCATCACCAGGTTTGCCTCCTCTTTCATACTACCCTGGGTGAGCGGACTGAATGTGTGTTTGACTTTAAATGCCAGAAGAGCTACTGGGGACGATTGAAGAAAAGAAACAAGGTGTTTATTCTTTGTGTGACAGTCGTCTGATTCATTGCTTTGCAGATCAGAGCTAGAGTACATGCAGACTGTGAAGTTGTGTCCCACTGCCAAACTGGCATCACACCTCCTAACGGCCAGTGCGATACAGAATAGCCAGCTGTTACAAGCACCTCTACAGAGTTCCTCAGAACTGCATGAGTAGTCAGTTGTGTTGCCCACAGAGCCACCAGACCAGCCAGGAAAAAAAGCAGAACTTACTTCCAACTCTTATTACTTCTACAGCAACACCAACATTGACGGATTGTACTTTTATTATCCAGATCGCTTGGTTTTCATGTAGTAACTAATGAAATACTTTGGTCATTCATTTTTCTGGGCAGCTTTTTCTTACTTTGCCTGTTTCAAGACGATTTTTCAATGGCATAATAGAGTCTGAGAACTGAACGTTGTGGGTTAAACATGAAGCTACTCAGAGTTTAAAGTAATGGGAAAGAGGTTCACTCACTCTGTGTTGATGATCTTTGTAGATGTGTTGCGAAACTATATATAGAGAGAGAACAATCCAGGAGTGTCTGGCAATTACTTAGAAGTAGAAATAGTTGTTAAGGGGAGTCAAAGTGATTTTCGCATATCTCCGTATCCCAATGCCTTGTATTGTACATTATAAACATTATAAGTTCAGGTTTAAGTGTATTTTTGTCATCATTCAGGTCTCAGTGTATTTTTGATTGCCGTCATGCTGGCCCACCGGCAAGAAGGAAGAGAGCAAAGAGAGGACCGTCCCAAACAGGATCGCCCAGCTCGAGGCAGTTCCCCACTGCTGCTGCCTCGTGAGGCACCATCAGCTATGCCCAGGCGAGCAGGATAAAAATAAAGGGCACCCCCCCCCAACACACACACACAAAAAGTCACCTGGTAGACAACAGCCATGGCTCGTCAGGAGTCGATCACGCTGTGGTCAGTGTGCTGGGAGCCACATCAGGGGCTGTCCGGCCTCCTCAACGCCAGACAGCAAGACAAATGGCCTGCTCTCGGAGAACTTCCGTGTCCTTCGAGGATCACAGGGCTCGTCAGGACCCCGAACTGCAGGACATTTCTGGAGGCACGTACAGTACCCGGCTGCTTATTTTCTCCACCTCCAACTCCCAAAACAGCACACAAACCACAGACTGGACTCCCCTAAATCCTCCCTTGAGCCCATCTCCAGGCTCATCACAAACTTTGTCGAGCAGCAGGCTGAAACCGTCACAGTCCAAACATTTTCTGCCTAACGACCAAAAAGGTGTGAGGGGCCCTACTCTTACCAAGACTTCCACAAGCACAATGGCTGACCAACATGAAGAGTGCAAGACAAACAGAAAACCACCTTCAGAAAAATATCTACCACTAGTACTGTGCAAACCCTGTATATACCAAACAAAACTTGATTGCACCCTTGTGAAAATGTGAAATTCTCAACCCTTCACCAATTAAGCAATGATTCTATATTAAAACTTTAGTCCCCCACTAATTATTTACAAAGATGAGCATTCATATAGCTACCTCTAGTGGCATGTCAGCTGTACCTGTAGTCGACTCTTAGAACTGATGAAACACACTGTGACAGGTCTGCTTTCCCCAGAGTCTCAGAGTGGTGTCCGACTTGACTAGGAGAAATACTGCCCAAAGTATCAGAACTCCGCTTCTACTTTCAAAGGATAACAATTGTTAACAAAGATCATAAGGAAAAAAAAGTCTTTAAAATCGAAATGCCTTGTAACTATAATAACTATAATCTGTAATAGGAAATTAATTCTTACTCAGTGTCTTTGTAAAAGCTCAGAGTCTATCGATAACATTTCTGCCAAAGAAAATACAGCAATGTTTCATGTTGAGTGAACTGAAAAAGTATATAACAAACTTAAATTTAAGATAAAACACTAAATAAATAGTATGTAAGTTCACGAACATGCTTTTATTTAAATATAAAGTTAAAGAGACGTTAAATGTATTGTTTTATTAGTGTGCTGCAATAATTCATATGGGGCATCTACGAACTACAAATAAACAGAAGGACAACCTTACCTTTTCAGAAGCACACATAAAGACTGTTGTAAGTCACCTGTCCTCTTGCTGTCTGCATGGAAAAATACACCAATGTTTTAAGACGATATTTCAAGACCATTACGCAGACTCTCGTGTAATTCTGCAGGATGGTGTTCTTAGCAGCTGCTCCACTGGAGCAGTTTGAGTAACAGCCCTGAGGCTGGCTGTGCAGCATTAAGCAGGAACAGATGTGAGCTCCCAGGAGCTATTCCAAAGTCCACGTGCCACAGCTCCACCCCCTCCCTGATTGGTCGGAGGAATATTGAGGGAGGTGGGCAAACTTTTAGCCTCTGCTGAAATCAAAGTTCTCACATTTTGTGCCTTACATCTTCCACGGTCCGCTGGATTCCATCTGCGATTGTAATTAATGGCCACTGCCAATGACAAGGCTGTCCTGGAGGCCATATTCAGTCCTGCCAGCCCTTTCGGAGACCTGCCTTGCTTAGACGAGGAAGAGCTGAAGGACGATGGTAAAATTCACCTTTATTTGTGATTTTCCTTTAAGACTATTACCATTTTATTAAGTTATTCCCCTACAAGGATAGATCATGCACGGTGTATTTCTGAAGATTTTTACTCAATAGAATTTGTTGTGCAAAATGTTCAATGCTGTCACAAACAGTACTGCTGAAATTCCTTTCCATGCTATGCTTTTCCTTATTTCTGTCATTCTGGTTCTCTGAGTTTCTGTCAGTTCAGTTATCAGTTAAAAACTTTCAATAATAAAAAAAAATGCTTTCAAAATATGAAAACCACACACAAAAGAACAACAAACTTAACAGCCTCATGAGCGTCTCAATAGCAGATTGGTTAGATGAGCTAAATGGCCTCTTTACATTTGCTGACTTTCTTATATTACACTGTATCTCCACCTGTTCTTTCCCTCAATCCACCCTTCATCTTCACTTTTGATGTTTGCTCACGTCAAGCCAGATGTTCGTAGCCTCTTTTCTCTCAAAGCAGGGGAGAGTAGCAGCTCTACTGGGCAGCTTGTTTTGCTCCAGGGCCGCGCGTGTTGAATGAAATGGCAGCACCCTTTTTCTCTACCCTGAGACTGACCTCCAGTCCCCCCCCCCCCAGGCCCTATCACTCTCCTCTGTCCCACTCAGACCTTTCTCCCCATCGCTGGCTCTCTCTGTCTCCTCCTGCAGACGGCCGCTTCGATGCGGAGCTCCTGGCACAGGTGCGAGGGCTGGAGAGGCAGGGGGTGTCGGCAGCGGAGCGCGGGGATCTGCGCGCCGCGCTGGAGCTCTTCGACCAGGCCATCGCGCTGCTGCCCCTGAGAGCCTCGGCTTATAACAACCGCGCCCAGGCCCGGCGGATCCAGGGGGACACCGCTGGTACTGCCGTCTTGCACAATCTCAGGTCTAGTGTCTGAGAGCAGGAGACCCCAGCCTCCGCCAGCAGAGGGTGTCTTCGCATACATTTGGCCTTTTTGACACACATCAGCCCCAGTAACAAACTGCTTCACAGCTGCTGGATCCCCAGTATTGTGATGGCAGTGAAACACTGACCACCAGCTGAAAAACTCACACATGAAAAACTCAGAACTGAATGCACCAGGTTCCAGGTTTAAGATTGTACAGAAATGGTAAAGAATGAGGAGCAGGGACCTCTGATTTTTACCGTTCATGTTGGAGGATTAGGTGAGCTCTGTCTCTTACAGCAAATCAGCACTAGAACACTACATAAATTATGTGGTATAAATGTTGCTTTGTCCTGTCTCCAGGCCTTCATTTTCTTCCATAAATGATTTAGGCGTAGTTAAGAAAATATGCAGAGGCACGCTGGGATGGCTGATCACTAGGGGGAGCCACAGCAATGCTTATAAGAGTAGACAGACTAAAATTGTTCTCTAAACTTGTAGGAAATTCAGGCTCATGTCCTATTATTTTCCTTCTCAGTTTAAATTAAATTCTGCCCTACAGAGTTGCAATCTGAGACGTGCCTCACATAAGCATAAGCACGGGACTTTTACATTTTAGAAGGTAGTTCTTTATGCACGCAATCACAAGTGTGTGAAACAATATGTTGAGTGATATTGTTGTATGACTCTGGGGGATCCAGGAATCATCCTTGCTCTCAAGATCCACGAGCACCTAGTTTCAAGTGAGCCTAATGATCTGAGCAGAATCCTGTTGCAGTCTAACCTCCTCCTATATTCACATGTATCAGGCTATCACTTGCTTGTTCTGGAGGGCTGGTATATGTACCGACAGGCCTTCTGCCCAGCTGTACCTTAATCAGTTCACCAGTATCTCTCTGTTTCACTTGACCCAGCTCTTTGTTTTTCTGCTGGTTTAAAAAGACCTGGTGTGTGCAGAGCCGCACTGGGCAGCCGTTCACAGAGGACTGGATTAACCCCTTGATCCTGTGTTTCCCCCTGCTCCCCGTTTCCTGCTCTTCCTCCCCCAGGAGCACGGGAAGATCTGGACCGCGCCGTCTCTCTGAGCGGGGCCGCCGGGCGCGCAGGGTGCCAGGCTCTGGTCCAGAGGGGGCTGCTGCACAGGCTGGCGGGGCGCGACGAGGAGGCCGCAGAGGACTTCCAGAGGGCGGCCGCCCTGGGCAGCCCCTTCGCCAGGCAGCAGGCCGTGCTCCTCAATCCCTACGCTGCCCTGTGCAACCGCATGCTGGCGCAGGTCATCCACAAACTGCGCAACCCCGACGCAGCCGAAACGCAGGCCGTGTAGGGCCAGGACAAAGATGTCCGAGACCTTCATCAACACAGCAACGGCTACAAACGACTGGAAGACATTCAACCCATCTAGCCCATTGATGCAAAGATCTCTTCCAGCCATTTCTGGGAAGAAACCAGGGCATCAGCTTCAACATGGCTGGGTAGCTTGTTCCATGCTCCCATTACTCTTTGGGTAAAGACGTGCCTCCTGTTCTTGGTTTTAAATCTACTGTACTACAGCTTCCTCTTGTGCCCTCTGGTTTGTGTTTCTACCATGGTGGTGGGAGTTGATGAAGGTCACGGCTCTCCTGTCTCAGTATAACTTGAGTCCCAGACAGACACACCTCTTCGGGATGGTGAACCGTGTGTAACTCCAGGCGTTAAAGGATTATGTGGGGGTTCAAGGCACAGTGAATAAACTTCTCACAATAAGCAGAGATTTGTGTCCTTTTTATTTGTATTTCAATGTTTCATAAAGAAGCGGGGCCGTTAAACAACTTCAACAGAGCAGAACTGTACACATTTCACACAACCACAACCTTATATTTACCTTTAAGTGTGTATCCAAACGTTAAAAGTTATTAACTTCTATATTTAAAAGTTATATTTCACATTTCGGTTGAATGAAGGTTCCCTTTGTTAATTTTAACTTGTTTGCACTCCCATCATACAAGTGGTGTCAATCAGATTTTCGCATACCTGTAATTGTTTTGCATTTTGACATGCTAATAAATACACAGTGTTGTCATTTACTTGCAAAAGCATGTCTTTGCAGCTGAAACTCTAATTCTCTATGCACGCATTTTCTCCAACAATGCCAATCTAGACAAAAAAGTTTAGTAAACACAGTATGAAATATTGTTTTAGGACTGAGAATACAGCGTGGATTAAAAAACAGATGGCTTGAACAGAGAGCAAAGTAGGCACAGTGTGTTTCACCTTGTCTTTTCACCAAAGATGGACACATTCCTGGTTCCTTTTTGAAAACAAAATTAACCTACTTTATCATGCATCCATCAGAAAGATAATCTGCAGCCCCATGGCACAAGAGGAACAAGAGCAGAGCTGAAAGAGTTGTTAATGTGACAGACCGCAGGTTTTCGGGGCAGTTTCCAACACCTTTGTTTGCACGGGCGGGGGGGCCCCGCTATTTCATGGGGAAAAGCAGAAAGCCTGTAAAGATACTGTCGGCTCCATCCGAACCCAGGACAGAATTCTTCTCGGTGGGCTGCAGGGAGACGACGTCGCCCTTGTCTAGCTGGAGCACCACGGAGCCCGAGGTCACCAGGTACCCCTGGTACACGGAGTCACAGAAGACCACCACCTTGTCGGCGCCCTTGTGGATGCCAATGCAGACGGGCCCCCGCGCGGTGACGTGGTAGGTGAAGTAGTAGGCGCCCTTCGCCTCGCAGGTGAACCTGCCCCCCGGCAGGGGGTCCCCAGCAAGGTTGGCCCTCTCGAACCGGATGGGCTGATAGCTCCTGGGCGGCATGTTGGAGGTCTTGCTGAAGGAGAAAACCGACTTCTCCGTGGTGTTGATGGCCACGGGGGACCCCATCGCCCCCTTGGGGCCCGCTGGGCCCGGCAGCCCCTGTTCCCCGGGGTCCCCCTGCAGGCCAGCCCTCCCTGGGCTCCCCATGGGTCCTGGCTCCCCCTTCTGTCCCTTCACAAGGCGCCCGTCATCACCTGTGCAAGTGCGACATGGCAGAGATGCTGAATCCTGTTCTGTAGAAGACAGCCCTGCCACGGGCCTCAGATTCAAACAGAAATCATAGAGATGAGATTGATATTTACTAATGGAAATTCTATTATTATGATGAGACAAAAGAATAGCATCTGGCATAATAAATAATTAGGGGAGAGTAGGAGAATGAGAAGAATTCACTTGGGGCAGCCGCAAGCTCTCTAGAGATCAAGGTTACTTTGAAAACATTTGCTGAGCCAGTCCTGACAAACGATCAAAGAGGGATATCAGGAATATGTAAGAGCATGGATATCGCTTGAGCGTTCATTGCAATTGCATAAAGGAGGGACGGAGAAGGCAACTTCTTCTCGTACCTCTGGTGCAGACTGCTGAATTCCCCCTGGCTGGTGCTCTTTTCCTCTGCCCTCACATTTACTCCTTATACTTCTGCTGCAGCACAACCGTTCTTGAGGAAGAGCGATCTTTTTAAAGCGTGTCAACAGTAGCCGTAGCCATTGCCCACTTTACAATTCATTACAACTGCTGCTCTGCCTCAGGTACCTTTTTCTCCCTTCTCCCCCGGGACCCCATCTTTCCCATGGGCTCCGTGAGCTCCTGGCTTTCCCGGGATTCCGGGATAACCGCGGTATTTGCTGCAGGTGTCTGCCGCTGATAACGTCACGGCGGAGGTCAGGACGACGACCAGGACCACTGCCTTACATGCCATGATGTCGCAGGCCTGGGAGAGAAGCGGAAATCAATCTGGGTCTCGGGCTGTAAAACTCCCCCTTCCAGTCAGCTCAAAAAGAACACAAAATCTGAGAGAACAAGACTCCAACTCCTAATGATAAGAATTCAAAGTGCTTTTTCAGCAACAATCTTCTAAGGAAAATGGATCAATAAAAATCTAGATCTCAAAAACCGAAGCATTAAGATTTGTGTTCTTTTACAAACTGGAAATGTTGACGAGGCTACTAGCTGACAGAAACCTGCTTTCTCTCAGGGGCCAATGAAGTTGTTTTAACTCCATGGCAGTGCACAGATTTCTGTTAGAAAAGAGAATGACATACTGTAACAAAAAAGATAAAAAGAAACAAGAAAGGCATGACCTTTTTCCTTACATAGATTATGCCACCTTACAAAATCAATGTAAGAATCATCTTTTTAATTAATAATTGAATGGGTAATTAAAAATTAATTAAACCCCTCAGCTGGATGCCTTTTGTATCACTAATAGATGATTTAATTAAATTTGGCATGATATGTACTGTACCTTTGCCTATCGTCCTCTTCTTCAGTGTGCGTGCAGCAATGCGCGACAGGGGTTTCTCCTGTCAGGGTCCTCTTGAAGACGTGCTCAGGACAAATAAAGATCTAAAAACACAGAAGTGGAGAACAAGCTTGTTCATTTGAGGAAGTGAATGGAAAAAAAGCGATAATGAAGGCACAGCCAAGTGTCTCCATGTGCAGGGGTTACCAAAGAGTTCTTGCACGTTTTTGCCTCTCGAAGCAATTTTCACATCCCTTTATTTAAAAAAAATGTGGTTCCAGATGTTGCATTGTATCTAGATATTTCTTCACAGACCTAAACTCTGAAATAGTTGGCACTGTGTGTGTGTGAGAGAGAGTGTGTGTGTATAAATAAAAATGACATCACTCGTTTTGGACAGTTTTATCTAGTTTGCTAGCGGTGACCAGTCACATCTTCTCCAGACAATCACATAACAAATGCTTAAGTACTGCATTGGTATTTTATTTCTGATCTGGGGGCTGGTCGCTATACATACTTATCCACTTACAGGTAGCAATTTAGAAAAAACAAGAAGCAGATGTTTCCCCTCATTTCTATACATTTCAAGTTCTTAGACCATACAAAAAGAAACAGGAATCCAAGACAGTGTAAAAAGATTGCTTTTATTGCTCTGATGAATCCAAGACTAAGAAATAATTCTGTAATTGCATCCACTTTTTAAGATAGAAATAATACATTTTGCAGTGGGTGCGTCAAAGCACAGCACACTACTGAATACCAAAAATACAGCACTTGAAAAAGACCTAGTGATGCATAAATCCATTGCTCATTGCTCAAATAAGCCTTATAGCAACTCACATTTGCAGAACCCTTTACAACACAAAGATTTCAACATTTTCTTTCAATAAAGATCCAGTGCCCATTCCTAAGTGCAAGAGGGATAGTGGCAGCTGCTTTGAGTCAGGAGGCTGCACAGCTCAATCACAGACCAGTTTGACAACAAAAGGGAGTAGATTCTAGGTACACATGGCAATACACGACCAATCTCAACATTCTGTTAATAAGGAAACAAAACAATGACATTGTAAGGTGTAAACCTTGTAAAATCATAGCTCAAGAGTCCCTCCTAGTTCTCAGCTTTCATTTTGATTCTGGGATATTTTTTCCCTTTTCAATAAAAGCAATCTGAACTTTGAGCACAGCACACTTAGTCCCAGACTATAAGATGAAATTAACCTAGATGTGTTTTTGTGTGGCCTTACACAAGTCCTTGTGCGGTTCTTCATCTAAAGAGCCTGGCTGATGGGGGTTGCGAGTAAGACCTGCTTCAGTGCTGTACTAGCACAAAGGAAACCATGCAAAGGTTTTGCTTATTTTACTTATGCTGGCTGTTGGCTTTGCTTGTTAAAGAACATAAAACATCACCACCCTGAGCATGCATCACCAATTGTCAGAGCATGCACATGCTGTATTCGTAAGAAGAATGTGATTAAGAAAGAAACAATTTAGGAAACAGGAAAAGGAACATGGATCAGAAATCAGGTCCCTGAATACATGCAGGGGCGCTGTGCATCATGGACGGGTGCTGCTTTCATTCGGGGTACAGCAGGAACCCAGAGAAGACGCTCTCTTTCCCCGCTGTCCCAAGCATTTGGTTGTACAAGGTGGTCTCCAGCCACACCTCCTCGTCTTTCCGGAGCCTCACGGCCAGCCCGCCCGAGTTCACCTGGTACGTGTTGATCTTGTGGTCACAGAAGCTGGCCATCTTCTTGCCCGCCGCCATCAGGTTGACACAGAGGTGGTCTTTGGAGGAGGCGTGGTATACAAAGTAGTAGGTGCCAGGGATCTTGCAGCGGAACTTGCCCGTCTGGATGTCGAAGTGCCCGTTGATGTTGGTGATGACCGTGGTGAAGAGGACGGGTTCCCCTTCTCTGGGGGGATGGGTCGTGCGGCGTGTGACGCTGAAAGCTGACTGCAGGGCCAGATCGTAGTAGCCGGACTTTCCTTTCTCTCCCGGCTCGCCAGGAGGGCCGACAGCACCCCGTGGACCCTTTGGCCCCGTGCGGCCAATCTTCCCAGATACCCCCTGGGGCCCCGGCTCTCCTTTCTGTCCCTTCTCACCCACCAGCCCGGGCTGGAGCGGCTCACCTGAGACACAGAAGAGCAGTGAGCACCCCTCCTTACCGAACACCCCACGCACCTTCTCCGTGTCCTGTCACGCTGTTCGAATTCGTTGGAACAACACAGAAACCTGCCGTTTTCAATGATCGCTTGCACACAGCACGTCACCAAGAGCAGCGAAGAGCTGGCAGCTTTAGAATATTCCAGCTGTGCTCAGAGATATTCTTTTCTTTTTGCTTGTGAAACAATATTTATTTTTACATTTTCCACAAACACAAATAAACATCTGTGTCATCCTCTATTGTCCTGATAATCAGACAGATAATCCAGGCATACCATGCAATAAGGCTTTGACCAGATCAATAGCTGTAATCAAGGCCTTCACCTTTATCATTTGGCCATTTGTCACCCTGCGTCTGAGCAGCAGAACTCCATATGAATAATGACAAGACAGACCAGGGTCCTAGGAGACCAGGGACAGAGAGGTGGAGTCTCCCAAAAGAGAACCCGCAGGTGTTTAGTCTCCTTCTGCGGGAAGACTGGAGTTATCATTCGCCCAGAGTAAAGCAAAGCAGAAGAAACCAACTTTCTGAAACTTAACCGTATCTGGACACATGCAGATTATTAATAAAACACAGAAGCACAGGAAGATGATCTCTTTTTTACCCCTGAAATCGATCAGATTATGAATAGAGAGGTATTTTATATACAGATGAATTTTCGCTCCGGTGATCACCTCAGGCACACGCTGCACAATGGGGAAACAACACGTCCTGGAACTTGTGAAAACCGCCCTCGTGGAAGTACCTGCTCGTACGTCAATCCCTTTAGCTCTTATTTCTCAAACGCAGAGAAGAAAAGGGGAAAATACTGTACCTATGAGGAGTTTTTACATCACAGGAAACGGGAGAGTGAGAGAATGAAAGTGTGCAGTCTTCTGCTATTTTCATGAACATTCGCACTAAACACCATACTGGAATTAAGTATATGCGTGGGCTGAAACACAATCTTCAACGTCTCAGGGGGACACGACACAAATTAAATCTTTCAAGTCCGGGTGGAGACTCTAGGTCCTCACCTGGAGCTCCTTTCTCTCCCTTTTCACCATCTCGTCCGTCCCGGCCTGGCATCCCAGGAATTCCTGGCAGTCCAGGGGTCCCGGCCTGGCCGGGGCAGGTCTCGGATAACGCCAGAGGTGAGAGAGCCAGGGCAACGAGCCCTACCCAGAGAGCCGGCATCGCTGGAGCTGTATCGGCACAAGCACAGAGCAGCGTGTGCGTTTAAAACCCTCTGGCAACAGACGAGGGCAAATGTGAGGAGAGCACCCGGTCCTGAAACACCAAGAGACACACTGGAGGTTTTACAACCTGTACTCTCTATCTGCGTCTCGATGTCTGTTTTCTCCTCTGCTATCCATTTCATTGCATCTCTGTGTTAATTGCATTTTCAAGTACTCTCTAGTTGTTGTATTTCATGATTTCATCAGCTATGCAAACTTGTATTACTGTGGTATAACTGTATTACTCGTGGCTCACTCCGGTACTCTTCTTTAAAAGAAACGTGTTTCTATACACTGTAATAACGTCTGATGTGCTGCTTGTTATAAACTCTTGATGCTTATTACTGACCCTTGTTAAACATCACTGAAAAAGGAATCAGTCAAGCAATAGCAATAGAAATACATTTAAAACACCCACATTTCAGTTAAAAACTAACGAGATTCCAATCCATGAGTCTTCTTCATTTTCACTGTGACTTTGTGTTTTTTTTCAGTTTATTCAGCTTCAAACAATTAATAAACTGAAAAATATATATTTTTTTAAAAGTAATTACAACCTGATACATACCAATCAAAATCAACCTCTGTAAAGTAAAATGTTCTGCTATATAACTTAGTGGAGCCAGATTTTTTGCAAAACAAGTTTCAATGAGTACGCACTGAAAATTCTTATTTTTATGAATGAAAGCAGACATCAAATTTAGCTTCTAAGCAAGACGTACTGTACGCCTGTAATAAACCTTCTAGCCCTCCAGCTAATCCCAAACCTCGAGATCTATGAAAAGTACTGATATGACCTGAGCAATCCAAGAGTTTTAATGCTCGACTTACATTCGGATCGCGCTGGTGTCTGTGTCCAGATGTGATGGTATTCAGCGCTGAGACAATTCCGTGGTGAAGTGGCACAGTGTCAGTTCGTGAGTCTCATCTGCTGGCTGGCTGCTGAAAGAGGAAGTCAAGAAAGGAAAGGAGCTGGAATGGAGCCCTGCCAAACCACACAAAGTGCTGTCTGATTGTTTTGCAGCCTCCGTAGGTTTCACATCAACATTTCAAAATATTTCTTCACGTGCAGCAGAATTTCTATTTTTCTCTCCCTTTGCAAAGATTGCTTTTTTTTTTCCATGTGCTTGGAAGCTGGAATCGCATGGGACCTAAAATCAGGGGGTGCTTTCCAGAGGAAAATGCGACCTGTGTTTTACCTGGACCTCTAAACAAACGCTGGTTCATTCAGTAGCGATAGGCAGTTCTCTACTCGAGCCACAACAGTGTTCATTCGGATTTCCACGGCAAGCAGCAAACTGAATGGGATACCAGTCCTCTGTAGACACTGGCCCCCAGTCACACTGCTGGGAGGACTGAATGGAGCAATCAGGGTCAAGCACCTCACTCACGCTACTGTACTATACAACAGTACTGAGCACACACCCGCCATCCGTCCAGGGACTTACTGTACCTACTACACTACATTGCTCTAGTATAATAGCAGAAAAAGCAGAAAAAGAAAAAAAATGGAGCTGTTCATCTGAGAGACGTTACAATTTTTCAAAGTTCACATTCAAACAGTGGTATTTTTTTCCTTTTGTGCTATGTTCCTGTGTTAGAATTGTTGCGATACTTACAAATTACCCTGACCTTGTAAGTGCTTTGAGATGGAGATTACTTCTTAGGGAATCTGCATGAACTCAGGCAAAGAAATTGTTTTGCAAAGATCCTTAGTTGGGAATGAGCTTTAGGGAATGGCAAAGCAATTCATTTCAAGAGTAGGGGTCTCCAGCCCTGGTCCTGAGCCTGGTGTCTTCTGATTCTTGCTCCCTCTGTGCTCTCACTTACAGTACATAGTTTCTTAATTTTAACCGCAACAGTTCCGTCCAGGCTCTGAGGTGTTACATATTTTACCACAAATTTAATAAGGTGAATATATTATCAGCTGTAAAAAAAAAAACATAAGAAAAAGCCCACACCCATCTTTCACATCCATCTCTTTAAAAACTTCTTCCAATTCAGAGTTGCAGGGGTGCTGGAGCCTGTCCCAACAAGCAATGGGTACAAGGTGGGGTACACCCTGGGCTATGATTTGATGGTATCTCCCCAGGTCTAGAGTCAATCCCAGACACAGGGCCACAGGATTCCTCCATCCTATGATTTGATCTTCTTAACAACCAGAAATATTGCACACAAAACGCAGGAGCCTTAGCCTTTTATTTTTATTGTGGTCATAAAAAAAAATCTTGTGCTGACAATTCTGAGAGAAAACACAAGGAGCTTTGTTACAAAGTGTACAAATGATGAGAAGCAGATTATTTAACATCCGTCAGATAAAGGACAATGCTTCGTCTTTTATCTGTTAAAACAAGTTATCATAAAATCAGCTAAAGCTCACACACAAAACAAGCAAGGTTACAGCTGTCAAACCCTCTGGGAGAACTTAGAAGACTCAATGTGATTAACGATTTCCTCACTCGTGGTGATAAAAGGTTGTGTGAGGTGTTTCAGTAGGCCTTCTTATTTCCCCTGGGCTTCTGACAGCGATGCTGGAATCAGAACCGAGAGACAGCAACGGCTGGCATCCATCAACCGGAGCGAGTAGGTCTCCTGAAGGAGAGAAGTACTAGGCGATCTCTTGTGGAATTCATTGAAGGGCTTAGAAAAAGCAGAATAACACAGAGGCAGACAGATTTTATCAGATAAAATACATAACGCACAGATGCAACAACAGGGATCACAGCTTCTGCCAGCTACTAGGATGTGGAAAAGATCAGGAAGCCGCTGAAGATGCTGGATGAATCTGGGGCCATGTTGTTAAAGGCGACGTTTTGCTCTCTGACTGCCTCCACCCAGACCTCCTGATTTCTCTTGAGCTGCAGGACCACGCCCCCTGACAGCACCTGGGCCTGACCGCCGGCGTTGTAATCGCAGAAGCCCAGCCTCTCCCCGTCCTGCACAACGAGGGCGCTGCTTCTCAGGGCCAGGCAGAGGTTCCCCGAGGACACCGCGTGGAAAACAAAGTAGTACACGCCGTCGATGGAGCACTTGAAGCGCCCGGTGGCTCCGTTATAGTCGTTGTTGACGTTGCTGATGACGTTGTCGAACACAATGGGCGAGCCCGTCTGCGGGAGCCCAGGCACGGTGCGGGTCGCGGAGAAGGCCGAGCGGTCCAGCTCGACGGAACCACTTGCGTCAGCCTTGGGTCCAGGCGGGCCGGGCTGTCCCACAGGCCCCAGGACTCCCAGGTCGCCCCTGTACCCCTTAAGCCCCATGGGGCCTGGAGGTCCCCTGTCTCCCTGGCTGCCCTTGCTGCCCGTCACCCTGGAGAGGTCACTCTGAGGCGCTGGGGAGAGAGAGGGGCCAGAGCACCACTGCGTGATTCAACAAGAAGCTCGCGGCGTGGCTTCAGCACAAGCAGCAGAGCTCCATCACAAACACAAACCACCCTGGATATGATATTCTTCATCCCTTTGTTTTTTTGCTTTGATTGTGTGGAGTAGGTTGTGTATGTAGTGCATTAACTGCTACTTCACGACTGCAGTCTTCAAGTACGTGCCTGTGAACCATGAAAACATTCATGTTTCATAAGCACCATTAATATGAGAAGATGAGGAGCAAGCAGTGACTTATTTGTGGATGCTGTTCTTCTGCAGCATCAGTGCATTAAAACACCTTGAAGGAGATGCATGACTCTGTCCTTGTAAACCACTTTAGATTAGAATCCCCCAGGGGTTGCATTAATGCACCTGCATGAGCAACACACGGCACAATCACTTATGTCATTAAAGAATGTGTCTCAATCGGAGCACTGGGCTGAAAATCTAGGGGGTCGTTCTGTAAGGAGCCGCGAGAGCACTAGAGAGATTTGTAAAGCAAAGGCGGACCAAAGAAATGGAAATAAAATCAATTTGTTCAACAATATCTGCGCTTCTTTCAGGAAGAAGCCAGTGGCAGGGAACTGCTTTTGATGGCTTTGGAGGATTTTGCATAGCGACACCAAGGCTGTAAAAGCAAAGGGGTGTTGGAAAACACTTTCAGAATATTGCCTTTATATTTTCTTTCTATATTCAGGAATTTTACAGTGTGCCTCTTTGCAGGGCGGTTTCGTATGAGAAGATTCATGTTTAATAAAAGCCACAGGCTGTTGCCCCTGGGATACCTGGCTCTCCTTTCTGTCCCTTCTGTCCTGGGCGGGCGTCTCGTCCTGGGGTCCCCGGCTCACCCGCTATCCCATCTTGAACCCGACAGCCATCCGGCTCCTGGCACAGCCCCGAGGGCAGCAGCACAGCCAGCCACACCAACACCAGCCCCGCCAGAGAGCAGCGGGACATGACTGCAAGGACGCGGAGAGAGGCCAGTCAGACAGTCGCTGCATCAGCGGGGATCGCTCTGGGAACATACAGTACCAGCCTGAACCAGCCCTCCTCGCTCGCAGGCCAGGGGTCTAAAACCATTGTGCCACTGCAACGCTATAATCCGCCTCGAGCAATACGTACAGTATTTGTTTTGCAGCTTTGAAAATGACAGAAATATTATTCTCCTCCAAAGAGCTTCTTCGGCAGTTTCAACAAAAATCCCAGCAATACAGCAGATCTCTACTCTCTCTTAGGGGTACTTTTATTTGGGAAAAAAGCTTTCAATCCCTGGTTACAAGGTTTATAATCTATAATCTATAATCTATAATCAGTCACAAAAGAACTCGGTTCTTAACAATGATATTGCAAAAGGAACAATATTATTAAAGGATATTAATATTTTAACTAAATGATTCTGATCTCATTTGAATACACTGAAAAACTTCATTATGAGCCCTAAGCAGTGGCATTCTAGTCTTAATTAACTGTACAGTTTTACTATCAACAGTACAATCCAACCTTAACATAAGCACTCTGTTCGAGCACAGCATTATTATAATCAAAAAAACAATCGGAGACTGTCAAATGTTAACATTATCCAGCAGTTATAAGAGAAAACAATATGAAATAAGGGGCAAGACTCACCAGGTCCGATCTTCGCTTGCAAAACAGAGAGAGAAATTGGTGACTGATTTTCTGTGATCTAGAAAAAGGGGAAGACGAACCACAATTCTCTGAGGACTAAGAATAAATGGACGTTGGGGACAAAATTGTCGACATGACAAGTTTCATTTCTCTTGAATATTTATATTAAAACATATGCAACATTTAGGGCCATGGTTGTGAAACCTTTTTGAGATTGGAGCAGACATCTGGAGCCAGAAAAAAGGCTAACAAAGTTTACTCAAATCACATCAAAAACACGAAGCTTAGCAGAGACTGAAACTCACTGACCGCTATCTTTGGGTCATCAGTAAAAGGAACATGTCCACCCATTTTCGAACCATTTCTGAATCAAGGTTGCGTACGCCAGTCCATCACACCGGGCCACACACACTCACACCATTGCCGGTTTTCCAAGAACCCAGTTGACATACCAGCATGTCTTTGAACCGGGGATGGAAACTAGCAAACCTGCAGGAAACCCACACGGATACAGGGAGAACATGCGAACTCCACACAGACAGCACCCCAGGTCCAGAAAGGAGCCCAGGGACCCAGCGCTGGGAAGAAGCAGTGTTAACCACTGCGCCACCATGTGCCACCATGCCACCCACAAAGGAAATCATATTAGATCAATAAGACACTATTTGCTGGTACCGAATGTGCCAGAAGGGCTAAATGGCCTCTACTCAATTGTAACCATTTGTGTAAATAATGCCAGCAGCCATATCACCCTGCAACTCACAATGTAAGCATTTATTATTATTATTATTATTAATCTACGTTGTAATGGCAAAGCACTATAAAATTCTGAAAAAAAAGCAATGTACCTTTGTTGCAAATTCTGTCACAAGAAACCCGTGAGTCATTTTTTTTGTTTTTGTTTTGTATTCTGTCACAGCTAGGGTCCTAATCGATGTGGGAGCTATTTTTACACAAGTTCCACGAAACCAAAGGGATTATTTCTTTTTACTACAGGAATTAACAGCAGTAGAAGCAGTCCCAAAACCAAAATCCGTTTCTAACAAAATTCATCAGCAAGAGCCAATGGCTTTCTTCCATTTTACCCTGAATGAATTCATAACGTTTGTTTCTTTATCACTAAATACTGCGTGCAGTGAGAAACCTATCAAGAACCATATAGTTTTGCATTTTTTATTTCGCTGTCTTAAGTACAGGTAATAAAAAGAATCACTAGAGCTAAGACATTTGACAGTAATTCTACTGTGAAATGACCACTAAATGGTACAAATGGAGACTGCTGAAAACACATTAATGATGCTAAAAATAAATCAGGAATTCCACAAAAAATAGAAAAAACATCCCAAATTCTTGAAGAACAGATGTGGAGTCCAGGTCTTCCTTCATCATGAGTAGCAGAACAGTCTAGTGTACACAGACCAAGGCAGAGATTGGCAGTTCTGTCTGGGCTGGGCTCACACCCTGGCCTCAGAGTAGATAACGCAGGAGTCAGCAGGCGTGCGCAAGCTGGAGGCAGGAGGCTTCCTTCCACGGGCCTGAAAACTCAGCTCAGCATAGTGGACATCTGTGACCGTGTCACTCAGCGGGGATGGAGCCTGCTGGCGAACGGAGGGGGGGAAACCGATTAATAAAGGGTCTCCTTGTGGCTTTCCCATGAACCGAAAAACACAGAGTTAAAAGGGGAGATCATGAGCCAGTTTGACAAACGTACTACATTTAAATAGACACAGGACCCCACTCTTAAAAGTGCTAAAGCGTTCCACAGTGTGGGCGCACAGCTGCCACCACCGCTATCTCAGCCACAGGCGACTTGAGAAACAGTGCAGTAGCATTCCATCAGAAATTACTAATTGATCTGGTTGATGCCTTTATCCGAAGCAAGACACCAACAGTATGCTTCGAAGTTCCGCGCTCATATAACAGCACCCGCGGTTCGAACCCGCTACCGCCCAGTAACTAGCTCAGAATCGAACCCCAGACATGCAGCCTCGACTGCTCAGTGACGTTCTTCTGCTCTTTTTGGATGCATTCTCCTCATCACATTTTAAAACTGTGTTATACAGGTATATACTGTTTCTGTTTCTTCACTCATGCACTAGAAAGCAAATACTTTGTATAATGTTTCATCTGAGGCAATCTGTAAAGTATAAGAATGATGTCCTAGAAATATGCTAAATTTACTATCATTTTTAAAGGCTAATTTAATTTTTTAAATCTTGTGATAAATGTACTTTTTAGAAGCATTTATTCATAAACACTGCAAAACCCTAATAAAAATCTCAAAATGTCAGAATTGAAACCACTCCTATATTGGAAGGGGGTTAATAAGCGTTAACTCCTTAAGTGTTACCGATATTACAGTGTCTCTCACAGCAGAAACCCCTTCATTTTGTACTGTATGTCATAAACGAACATGAAATTCATGTGGAACGGCTTTCTAATTTCACATTACAGGAGGCATTGTTATTTTTAAATGAACTCTTCAGCAAATAAATTATTTAAAATTATTGTTAACTTGATTATTGTGCACTTCACGGGAACTGAAAATGAAGCCTCACATAATCTGTCACAAACGTTTGGGAAGTAAGGTAACTGTTTTTTTTTCATAAGTACTGGTGATTTTGTCTTCTGTCATCTGTTACTTGTAACTTATAACCATAGTTCAATGTTAATGTCGCATTACATTGAACTGGAATTGTATCTTAAATTACGTCTTGCAAAATAAAATGTTTCTCTAGTGTCTCTAACTTCAGTTTTGGTGCAAGGGGGAAATATAAAGAATATTTCTAACCAGTCTCTTTCCACAATCTTCTAAAATATTATGTTTAGGTATGCATAGTAATTTAGTCTTTCCTGGGAAATTTAATCAGCACAGTTCCATTAAGCTATTCTGAAATAGCTCTATAAAGTTCAAGAGTAAAATTAGAGTGCAAAATGGATTTCAAAGTGTAATATTTTTACAGTTTCCTTATTTTCTCCATTTAAACAAAGACACAGACAGACCATTGCATTATTTTCTTAGGGTATACAGATTACATGTGGCTAATGTTATTATTTTTTTAATGTAATATATTTGCACCATGCAAAATGAATAAAATATTTGATTATTCAACTTGCTGAGCAGCAGCAACATAATCTGTACTTGTAAATTTGTACTGTACTTTGTACTTGTGTGTAAAATTTGTAAGACAAACCTCTAGTAAACCCAGAGCCAACTGAAAAGTTTCTACTACCATTAGTATAACAATATTCACAAAAATAATTAACATTACCATAGGTGTAGGATCCGTTCTCCTCTTGCATTCTGTTAGAAAAATGTGGTTATTTTAATTTTCAAACAGATTTTGTACAGATATAAGAAAGCATAAAAAAATAAAGGTCATGAATGTATCACAATCCTGACTCCATGGGATTAAGCTCAGGAGGGATAATGACAGACAAAGCCAATTTTCACCCAGCTATTTCAAAATCAAATCATCACTGGCTTTTACGATATGTATATACTGTATGTTTTTGCAGGTACCCTTTGGTTAACACCTCTCTCTGAACGGGGCTCAAGACTCCTCGTCCTGTGATCAGGGGGCTGCCTCTTAACCAAGCAGGCTAAACCCAAACTATCCAACCAGAAAATACTCCAACATTTACAAAGCATCTTGGATGTTCTTGGATCTCATTATTCCTATGCGAGCTTTGTTTAAAGCCATGCATTTCAAAAGTATTCTAAAATAAACTTGTCATGTATCAATGTGTCGTGTACTGTATCGATTCCTAGTGTAACAGTATAATGCCACAAACCAAGTTTCCATCATTTAAAAATATTGTCGGCACAATATTCTGCTGACAGTTAAATGGAGATACAGCATTTAACCTACAGGGAAATTGTGGGTAATAAATAATATGTTGGACACTAAATACACACATATATGTAGATCAGGATACAAACAAGAATTTTCTCTAATTATTGTTTATGCTTAAATGCAGTGCCGTTACCCCATATCACTTAACAGATTATGCGATTTTTAACAAATAGATGTTTACCAATAACTAATTTTCGCAAACATATTTGATCTTATCTGTTATGAGTTATTTATCCAAAGCATATGCCCTGAGAAACAAAAGCTAATGTTTACTGAAGAGGAAATGTGGTACTCTGCTTATAATTGCTTGTGAATTGTTGGAACTTCTCATAAAGGTGTGAAATTAACCACAAGGTATTGCAAACAAACAATCAGTCAAGGTGAGAAAATCAGAAGGTTCCAAGGTACAGCAAGAGCAGCAAAATCATCTGTATTTTTTTCTTTTTTAAAAAGTTGTCAGACTGATCTAAAAAAATCATTTCTGAAGGAGGGGAGAGGAGTCAGTGGGATGGATGTTTTTCAAAGCTTTTGTGGAAAAATTAATTGTATACCCAGATTTGTAGAAATAACTATAAAAGGTGCAAGAGACTGCAAAAGTTAATTTGGAAGATTCAGAAAGAGGAGCAGAGAACTGTTATAAGTGATATGTCGTGGAGAAATTTGATTTCAGTGCCCACTGCGGGCAGCTCCTCCCTGTGCTAACAGAACAGATTTCTTTTCAAGGCGCAAAAATAAAAGTACACAATATCTTGACACGTCTTACCTGAGATCTTGCTATGATGTTTTAAGTGACAACACTTCTTGATTAGAAACCCCAGCACAACAAGTAGAAAGGCAATCACAATTATAGGTATGACGACAGAAATGAAATCATTTTCGCAGCTTGGAACTAAAAGATGAAAACACAGAATACATTTTTATAAATTTGCACTTTAAAAAGTGTAAATGGCACTATAATAAAGTACTGGGGAAAGCAATGCTAGAAATAAAAGGGATATATTCACTCATCGTGTTCGCCCACTGTCTTTCTTGTCTGATGTGCTGATAAAAAACTCATTTTTACTGTGAGTCAGCATGCTTAGTTCACAGGAGTTTCCACATTATGTGAAACAACATCAGTGATTCGGAAATGAAAGTCTTTATCGGAATGCTCCACATCCCAGGCCAGGAAAGAGTACTTACCGATCAAAATAGAAAGGATCTATTAATGAACTGGATGTCTGCCTCCATGGAGGAGGCTAGACCTGGGATTGTATACCAGGCATGTCTGAGTTCTCATACAGTGACTATATTTCCTGATTAATCTACATTTCTATCATATTATTAATCATTATTAATAGTAACACAGATTATTAATTAACATTATTAATAGAAGTAATATAATAACAAATCTGTGTCATTTAAACAGGTTCCCAAAACCAAACAAATTTATATAATTACTACTGATGTTTTGTTAATATTTTTATTTTATACACTGTGTAAAAGTGATCACCGATATTTACACAACATTTTTTCTCTGCATAACATTTAGTGTTTGTATTGACATTTTCAATGCATACAAAATCTGCAAAGATACAAACGTTCTGTGAACTTCTATTTAACAAATGATGCAGCTTTAGTGAGTGTCCATTGAGGGGCAGTTTGGAATAATTTGAAGCATTTTGAGACAGCCACAGGAATGGCACAAATGCACAAATGAAAAATAATAAATGCCAGTTTCCAGCTTCAACAGAAGCTTTAAGCAGAATTCTTCCTGTGTCTCAGCTCAGCGTGGACCATGAGAATCTACATCTTGTGTGATATGTGATAAGGTGTAAACACTGCAAATCATTCAGGACAAAACTCCAACTCAAAGACTTCATACAGCACCAAACTGAAGAATAAGCGTAAGATGTGCTGTCAATAATTTGCAACCAAATTATTTTCTCAAATTTTTTTTTTTCATCTCTTACCCATCCGTTTTTCCAAACTGTTCTGTTCAATACAGGGTCACGGGGGAGCCAGGTCTCAAGAAGCAAGATAGGATATTAGGATGGGATGATGATGATGATGATGATTATTATTATTATTAGTAGTAGTATGATTATTTTATTGTTTTTACAGTGACTGTGATCAGAACATTTTGCACACACCTATGTATTTATTTATTTTGTTCGTCTTTTTTTTATAACTATTCTGATGTCTGTTTTGCTTGTCTTGGGCTGGACTTCTGTAACACATCAATTTCCCTACGGGATTAATAAAGTATTATCTATCTATGAGAAGCACTCAATGTTAATTGTCAAACTCATTTTATAGAAAAAAAGACTTGCATTTGAATGTTAAATGAAATCCCATTTCATTTTTATGGTACAGTACACCCTACAAAGGTTGAAAACATTCAGGCTTGAGAAGCTAATTTCAGTAAGAATGAAGCTGGATATTTTCCAAATTTGTCGTTTTTAGAACCTCCCTGAAGAAAATACAAAGGGAAACATTTTGATCTCTTTCTTGTTTTGGGATAATGTGTCACTATATAGCACACCGAAAAAGGAGCCCCTCACACCAGAGTGACTGAGAGTGCACTATCGGCACCTTTAACTGAAGTAATGACTCCATAAAGATGCTACTAAAAATGTTTTACTGTGTATTGCAAAGTTTGAAATTAAAAAGCTGAAATTTATGTTGTTACATTACATTGATTAATTGGGGAAGAGGTTTCAAATGTAACAAACGTTTTGGTTGACGTGGCATACTGTACACATGTAACGTTACTTTACAGTAATCCTGAAGTCAGTTACACAACTGAGCAGCGTACATTTATTGTAGTAAATGCAAAATCGAAAATGACACCTGTTGTCTCATCACTGTCATATCTATAATTATAAACATTTCCAGGCATTTTATCTCAGCTATTTAAAATCTGAAATAGATATCTTAATGTTGATATTGACATGGTGTAAAGCTTTCAGTTACCTGTATACTGTAGATGAATAAAGGGCATCTGCTGGTGCGCCCCCAGGACAGGACAGATCGTTCTGTGTGCTTGTCCTTACCTGTCAAGCGGTAGCTGTCTTGGTGGGAACTGTAGTTATCCCATGCCCAGCAAGTGTACCACCCACACGCTGAGGGCTCCAGGGCTGGGATAGACAGCACGGCCTGGCTGCTGTTGAAGTCGGGGGTCTGGTTCTTCTGCCAGAAGACCTGGGGGCTCACCCCTCCAGACAGGACGCAGGTGAGATTGACGGGGCACCCCACAAGGGGAGGATGAGGAGAGACGGAGAACGAGCTCACTCGCACAGGCGCTGCACACAGAGGGGGACGAACTCAAAGTCAGTGGCCGGACGGCTGACTCCTGGCCGTGCTAAAACCTTCACCACCTCTCCAGGGTCTAAACCTGGTTTTCCTCCTAAGAAGACGACGGCATTTTAAAGTCGTCCAAGTGCACCTAAATACATTGAGGTGAAATTTTCAAAAACAAATCAAATGTTTCTAGCAATTGTTACAGAAGAGTTTCTCTTCTAATCATGCAAGTGCCATTTACTGTACCATGGCAAATAATGTAGATGAAACGATACATCTACAGTGCAAGATTTAGTACTTTGTTTCATTTGTAACCACTTGGAAAGCAACGAATTGCTTCTATGAATCTGCAATAAAACCAGTAGAAATAATCAATCTTCTAATTAATTCAATAAAAACACTCACAAGTTTGTTTTAATTAAATACCAGTGATCCTACTGTAGGGGATGTGATTGAACCAAAATAATGGAAAGGAGGAGGCTGAGGACATGAATTAGTTTGAAAACCATTCATCATAGAAATTAACAGATTAAACAAGAAATGCTGGAAATATTACCTTAAATAATATTTTTTTTTAAATGTTTTTTTTAATTAGTTTGACAATTCTGATAAAAGAAACACTTCAAGCCACACAATTCTGACTTACCGCTGATTGTCAGGTTAATCACTCTTTTATTCTGATTGCCTCGCACGTCAGTTACTATCATCGTGTAGATGCCGCTATCTGCCAGCGACAGGTTAGTCAATGAGAGGGAGCCGTTTTCCCACAGCCTTTCCACCCGATTACTGTAGACATCAGGAGTCACCAGGCTACCCTCAACCAGCCTGTCGCGGGAAGAGTTTGCCTTCTCCACTACCCACTTGATTGATGAGCCAGGTGTGATGTTGTAGCTGACGGCCAGCAGTACAGACTCTCCAAGCAGGCCATGTGCTCTGGTGTCTCTCGTTGCAGATTCAAGAGCACGCGCGACACCTGCATTGACAAAACACAGTAAAGTCAAAATAAATTGGTCTGTTAGATATCTTTCCTTTTCAATGAACATTTTCATTCTTACAATTTAACCTGTTTTTGCCACATCTCAGGACGCACGGCGTTTTTAAAACAATGTCTGCTTCACACTGCACCTTGAGCCAACAAAACTTAAGTTGATTAATACTGCTTATTGGCTTTCAGAAAAAGAAGAGCTACTTACCGCCCACAGCAGCAAAGACAAGCCAACTCAGAGATACCATCCTTGCAGATACCATTCCTTGAATCAAGGGCGACCTTGAGTTGCGTTTGAATTTTGCGCTGTAGGATACATTCCTCCCCTCTTTCAGAGACTGACTCCTGAGCCACGTTTCAGGCCTTTTTTGTATTCTTCAGATGCAACTGGGCTCATCTTAACAATAAACATTCACTAACTTTGACAACAGGAAATTGCATACACCCAACAGCACAGAAAAGATTCTCGACTGTGGAAGGTGAGAAAAAAGTTTTGTAAGAAGCTGTCTGACACATTTATGTAAAATGAAAAAAATGCCTTAAATCAAAGGTAAAAATCGAAAGGAATCTGATCGAACAAAGATACCAGTGTTTGTGCCACCATGAAATATGAAACATGTTTTAAAGCCCTCTCTTTAGTCTTCTAAATGAAAATGTCCATTTAGATGTACCTGACAGATGTCCTACAGGTTTACCAATGATTGTAACAGTTATCCTGTTTTGCCAGTCCCCAGTCTTGAACAATATATGCAGAAGACTTGAGAAACAAAACTTTTTCTTCTCATTTTACCAATATCTGGGATATAGCTTTTGTTCAACTTAGGGTTTTAAAAGGAAATTGTGACAAACTAATTGCTAACCCTTTCCTCAATAGTCCCAAACAGAAGAAAGCCCATCTCTTCAACGAATACTGGTCTGCCCCTCATGTTCACGACTGAACATGTGGCAGGAGTAAGGGTGTGCCTTCCCAAATGTTTTTATTTATTCTCAACATCGCATTTCATTAACTCATTCACTCGTCATTTGATTTAGACTAGAGTGACCAAGTGTGACGGTTCAGCATCAAGTCTTTAATAGGTTTATCTATAGCAATAAAAGCACTGGACTAAATGGCCAAAAAAAGAACTTGATAAAATATATTAGGAGCCCAGATCTATGTGTCCCTGTTGCAAGATGAACACATTCACAAAACTTTCAGCCTATTCACTTCACACTTCAAAGAGCAGAAATAACTCCCACTGCACTTACATACACCACAGCCAACAACACAGGAACTGAAAATGTGGAGCACTAGACATCTTCATCCTTCAGCTTTCACGACTCTCTTTCTATACTGAAAGAAAAGAACATGTTGAGTGCTTCTCTAAGAGATTTACTGAAGCAGAACGCAAAGACTGCCACTTAGCATTTTTAAGCACAGATTTATGAATTATGGTTCACGATATTAAAGACAAATGAACTGGAGAAAAAAAAAGTTCTTCGCATATTGTACTTCATTTTTACATTTGGCCCTGCATCACGTCACAGCTACTGTAAGTATGACTCAGACACGAATCTGGTGAGTTAGTACTTACTCCTTAGCTGGTGTTTTTCCTAGCTCATTATTCATAACAGCTCATATAGGAGCTAGAAATAATCTCCATTTACAGGGGAATTACATGCATTTCACATCACATTGCAACAGGAAGTGCTGTGAACAGAGATAAGATCCAGAGGTGTGAAAAACACTGAGCCCATATTTTCTATTCTTTGCACCTCCACAAAACCACAAACTGACGAGGCGTTGTGAGATTATGCAAATGTATGCATGTCCACTCAAAGAACACTGTCCATTCTTCCCCACAATAGATTGGTTTAAACTACAGAGACTGTGGTGACGAGAACGCGTCACACATCCTGATCAGCCATTGATCCTATCACTGCCATCATGAGACGAGATCAGGGCTTGAGGAGAAATGTGTTCAGACACGAACAGCTCTGAGCACAGCTCAGCGATGGAAGGGGTCCCCAGCGGTTTTAAGTGAATGTGTCTGTTGTAGACGGGTGGGGATTATAAAAACTATAAAAACCCACTTGGGCCTAATTAGAAAGTGATGAAATGAACAATCGAAAGTTGCACTGGCTCTTATTTTGGAGCTCGGAAGTACAGCTGCCTCACATTTCCTGGGGTGCCTTCTGTGCGGAGTTTATACGTTCTCTCCATGCTTGTGTGGGTTTTCACTGCCTCCCAAAAACATGCCTGCTCGCCTGCATCTGATTTATTCCAAATAGTCCCTTTCTGTGTGGCCCCACAATGGACTGCCATTGTGCCCAGGGCGAGTTCAGGCTTCTGCCCCAAGCCCTGCCTCTGGGTCTCTGGGTCACCACGGCCCTCAGCAGGGCAGGGATTCTGTGAGAAGGAGTCAGGGGATATCACAGCACGAATGCCCATCGCCGAGATGCCACACTATGAAGGGAGTTTGTACCTCCAACGCTCCTGCCCATCAAATGAAGATGAAACACATTTAAAAGGACAAATAGTGGCATGTGCATGTCACTGTTTTACCAGAAATGAACGATGGACTCAACAAAGCTTTAGGCTGTTAAGCACACATCGGATGATAACAAACTAGTAGAAATCTCATTTGCACAGCAGATGCAGCAAAGGAAATAAAAAATTACTCAGACAAAATTCCAAACTGAGTATCTGGCAGGTGACATTTAATGTAGACAGGGGAGAGTGACATTTAGTGTACACAAGAGCAGAACAAGACGTACTATAAAAATAGAACGTGAAACTCTTGAAGAGCTTGAAGAAACTACTGCTGAAAAAGACTTGAAGATCTACGTTGACATTTTCCTCCCCTGGACTATGTGAGATAACAATGGAAAAGGCAATCACAGTAGTAGGATATGCCAGGAAAAGATAAGAATTTAAATCAGCATATGTTAAAATTGTACAATGCGCTAGCAAGCCTTAATTTAGAATATTGTGTACCATTTTGACTGCCATGCTACAAAAAAGTTACTGTTGTTCTGGAATTAGTCAACAAAGAGTAACAACATACAATCCTGGGTTTAAAGGAATGTCATAATCTAACAGGCTAAAAAACGACATATCTTTAGTCACGAACAAAAAAGAGGAGACCTGATTTAAGTATCGAAAATCCCCTAATGCACTGGTAAAGTCAAAATTAACCATGCAGCATGAACCAGAGAATACAGACTGGAAAAAGCTGCTCAGCCTTATAGTTGAAGACGATATGCATCTGCTAAATGAAAGAAGTATGGTGAGATAATCAGATAAATTAGTGTGTAGCAACCACAGAGTTGAAATAACCTGAACATCCTTCTCATGTTTGTGTCCTTTGTAACGTTTTTAAATAATCATAAAAACTTAAGTTTTTTGAAGCCTTTATGTATTCCACTCATCAGCTCAAATTAACACTGCAACAACTGAGCTAATTCAAAAAAAAATAGCATGAGCACACCATTTTTACACTGTTCCTGCAAAACAAAAATAAACGTCTTCAGTATCATCTACTACTATCTAAACATCCTAACAAGAACTGTTTTTGAATCATCTGAATTAAAACAAATCCATGGCATCAGGTTTAATCTAACATTATCTAGAATTAGAGGTCTCTGGTGAAAAAACAGTCAAATGAGGGAGAATTCTAATGAGAACTGATAATTCTACATGATAATTGCTTAGTTCTTCCTAGGAATTAAAATTTTATGAAGCTGATGTGAACCCCCTGTTCCAAAACCTGAAGGTTCATTGACCATCTTTCAGGGAAGCTCCAAAGGAAAGATATAAATGTTTATATGTTAAAGATATAAAAAATTATAAAAAAATAAGTTTATTATTTTATGTACTTTACAGATATGGCCCTTTTAAGGTTCTATATATGCTGGAATGTCCCTCAAAATTACTCAACATACTTTTTTTTATATAACACTTTTGTACTCTGAAGGGAAACAAAAAAACAAACAAAGAACTGAACATCTATGCTCTTGTTTTATTTTACACAACAAGGCAAATTTTATGATAGCGTTGTTCATGTCATCACTGCATGGTTATTAAAAAGCACAGTGAAGGCATTGTAAAAGCAAAGTTATCCAGGTAGCAAAAAAAATTCAAAAACACAGTAAAGTTCAAGAAAATGTAAGTGAGGTGTTTCAGTCACAACATCCTGAAAGAAAAAGGTCATCATGATGAAAAGTAAACATATAAATGAAGCCACAGGCAGCACATTTAAAAAGATAGTATTGAAAGAGATGCAGAGAATTTTGACGGTGACCTTTCATGTAAAGCTGAGCTTGTACCTGATGTTCAGCTTAATGGAAAATGAAATGTTCAAGAACTTGACTGTGGCAATAGTAGAGAGGGCATTAGACCACAGCAGCATGAAGTGCAGACACAGAAACAGCTACAGCACTATACTGGAACTAAACTGGAAGTGTGGTCACGATATTTAAGACATACTGTATGAAATTCCAGAAACCTCATCGGTAAACATATCTGAAACAGATTTTCCAAACAACAGTGACCATTTTCTTCATAACTTCAAGGATATTTAAAATTATCGCACGTCAGAAATCAAAATTTGAGGGTATAATCACACATTGCTAGCTTGATCTAAAGTGCAGACACCAGCCATTGCACAATTCAGAAAACAACTCAAGAAGAGCGTTCTGTCCTTTAAACCAGTTTTTGGCAGAGAGACTTGTGATGTCTCAGCAGTACGACTCAGATGATATAAAAATACTCAGAATGTTCCACTGCTGCAGGACTTCCCTCCTACATGGTAATATTGTGCAATACTGGAAACGTGCAGAGGTGAGAGGAGGATGAAGGTGCAGAGGATTACACAAAGACAAAGGACAAATCAACGCTGCATTTCTCAGAATAAAAAAAACTATTGGGCAATATTAAGCTATGATGCAAAGCTGGATGCAAGACTAAGCAAAATGTTTGACCTGTGCTTTTGGAGTACACTTGTTTTGATTCTGCTTTTCTTCCTGCAGAAAAAAAGCCATCTTAGCACACCCTAAAGGAGTACAGTGGCGATAACATGAAATAAATCTCTGGTGCAGAGGCAGCACCAATATGCTTAGAACGCTGCACATTCTGCTTTTGTGCCATTGCATAGCTCTGTAGAGATGTGTTCGATTCGCTGTCAGATATTTAGTTGCTGCTTTGTTCACTGCTGAACTGGGAAACTAAAATCAGGTTTGCTGTGGCCAGGCCAGTTTTCTGCAACTGTTCCCACTTGCTGCTGCTGATCTCCCAGATTTTATATGGCAAGTGAATAGATAAACACTTCTAATCCACAGCAACATTTCTGGTTCGGAGAAAGGAAGGAAAAAGATCAGGCTGCAAGCTGAGAAATCATTAATCATGCTATTTATTTGTCATTGTTTATGCGGAATGTTTGATGTGTGGCACATTAGTCTTAAGACCGATAAATTAATTATCTGTTCAGAAGCCATAGGTCTTCACCGCTGTGTGAACAAGCACTTGTGTGTTGTGCCGGCTAGGTGTCACTAGTTTACTGTGACCAGCATTGCTGCAGAAGCAGTGCCCTAGTCAAGGAGTGTTGTAGGGATTTGAGTGGGCTCCAGTTAGCCAGGGTATGTTAGCATTGCTGTATCTCAGAAATTACCTTTGAAATTGCAATGCTGTCAGTGAGAGCCTCATCACATCTCCTGATGGCACCATGAGCACTGTGAGACTCACAATTTGCACAATAGCATATAAGGTTTGATTGAATGCATCCCTTGCTGGACCAGTGGTGAATCCAAGCTGATTGGAATATACCAATTCCAAACTGATATACACATTATTTCCTAGACATGTGTATACATTGCAATAGGACAAATATTGGGCAGGAAAAAAATTGCCATTGGTTTTCAGATAAATGTATAAAATGAATGTACAGGCAAATATACCACAGCACAGACTCAAAAACGCAAGACAGGAAAAAGCACCTTAGCTGACTGAAAATGCCTACAACAACGAAAACCTAAAGGCTTGTTGAACAGGTATGGCTTTAATTTGTACTGTAAACTGGAGTTTCAAGTTATACCAGGCTGCATTAGTGAATTGTGTTTTTCAATATCCCTGATTTTGTAAGTGTTTTTGAGTACTACACTAAAGTATCTCTTGGTTACTGCTGTTTTCAGAAAATCATTTTAGTTTGGTGGACATATGTAAATAATTTCTAAACTAATCTTCTTTTATGACATTGCATCTGATATTCTTAACGATTCAAAAGTCAGGTTAAAGTCTGAGACTGGTTAGAAAAACACAGCTAAATCATTTCACAAGTTTTGTTGATCAGTCATTGCTGCTCACTAATGTCTGATGAGGATCATTCTTACCCTGCTCACGGTGTTTTGCAAAGAAGAAAAAAAGAGTCCAAGGTAAAATCCAAAAAGCCAGGGACAATCTCAGTCTGTCTCAGTGGGGCCACAGACAGGAGTCTTCTCCTAAAGAAGAAACAAAGAAACAATAAATAGTGCTACACAAAGCACGACAGACGCCAAAGTCATGCACACTGGCAATGCAAACATTTAGGCATGCATGTACAATCTTGTACACAAGCAAAGGAGAACATAAATAAATACAAAGCCAGAAATAAAAAAGTAATCACATTTAAACAAATTGTCACACCTACTGACTCACTCATTCAAACAAAAAGGTGAATTTATGTGTAAAAAACACAACAAAACAGCTTTGTAAAATAACTTTGCTCTTCGCTGTGCTCTATATAAGCATATATTAACTACATATCCCATGCAGTTTTTAAGGCAGGAGCTGTAACTAATTGTATAGATGCTCCTTTCAACATAGAAGTTCAGAGGAATTAGTTCAAATAAAAGAATACATTTAGGCAAGGCAGTCTGATAAATTCTGGAATGCATCAACCATCAGTATCTATACTTTTTTTTAAAGAGTTCCATGGATATCTTGATAACTAAAATCCAGTTAAGGTCTCCACATACAGCACAGTGCCCCCTTTTGTCGATCTACAAAATTAAAAATTATGGTCCAAAAAATCTTCCTCACAGCTTTGTCAAAAGAACAGCTGAACCAGGGATCTAGCAAGGGGAGTGTGCAATTCACTGTGCGTTAAACCGTGGAACTTCTTGTGTGTCAAGATCTAAAGTCATTAATTGGCTTTAAAGGAAACTCAATTCTGTGAGTCCAGATAAGCTGATGATCTGATGAATCCTGTACCCTTGAACACAGGAGGATGGAAAGGAATGTGCTTAGTTAGATAGCAGCTCAAATAATAACAGACCATATTAATGATATTATAAATAATATGTATTAACGATTAATATTGTCATATTATTATAATATTAATAATATAATAGAAAGTCATCCCTCTGGGGCTAAAACATCGAGCAAATGTAAGGAGTACAGCAACACCTTCAAAGAAAAAAAGGCAGACATTTTAAGTTTAATCTAGAAATCTTGCCATACGACATGCAATTTAATTTTAACTCCTTGCGGTTTTCAAGGCAATAAAACGTGAGGATTCAGTTTTCACACAACAGCTATGTCCTCGCTGGCTGCGGAGCTCCGTGCAACACGATCTCTCAACGTGCAGTCAACCTGAATGCTGCTGCGAACAGCAAAACGCCCTTTAAAAAAAAAAAATGAACAGCCATGAGGCTAATAACATACGGCCGGAAAGCGTTCTTAAATAGTGTCCTGTGTTTTGCTTCAACAATGTCCTGCTCTTCAATCAAAGTATACTGTTTTGTCAGAGGTTCATACCTGAGATGTATTTTTAGTCCTATGACTGGTTCCCCTACTGACTGGTGGAAACCCAGAGACTCACCCACCTGTCTTCACCAGGCAGGACAGCAGCAGCAGTGCGGGCTGAGAGCAGGTTTCACTGGGTGACCTGGGCCCTCCTCTGCTCTGAGTCTGTGCTGAGCAGCCACAGAGACCATGCCTGCTTTTGCCGTGTGAGCGAGGTGTGTGGGACCACACTTGTGTCTGAAGCTGCTGCTGTGTGGCAAAGCACAGGCTCCTTCCAACCGCGGATACAAGCGGTCAGAAACCACAGGACGCTGGCGAGGAGCTTGAGCACCAAGTGCACCAAAAGAGATGGAAAAAAAAAAGCAACTGTCCTTTTCATGCTGCTGATGTGAACATGAATATCACCTTCTGACAGCCATTTTCTTACTTGAGGAGAAAGGCACATCAGTTATCAACAGTTTTCCACGACTCGTAGGCGAGCTCTTTTACCATCATTAAACATGCAATTTCAGAATGCTATATGCGGCTTGGAATAATCATAAAACAATAACCATTAAAAAAAACGACAAAATTTTTGAAGCGTGTCATGTGCAGATCAGTTAAGATGTTCTTTGTTTAGGCCAGTTTAGGAAAGAATCCAAAATGTTAAACATCTTGCTGTTTCTTTGTGATAACGTTGCTCAATAAGTGTTTTCTTAGTTTAGTACTGGAACTTCTAAGGCGGACATGTGGCGCATGACTCTCTCCAGCAATGCCCTTCAGAGTTGATATTGGAGTTTGTTTTTGGCACGATTCTGCGTATGGAGCAACTGGTGACTGGCTGGCCAAACCTGGGACATAAGATACAGACGATTTAGGTAGAGACTCTTTCTCGTCTAGGCAGACAGGAAAGTGGCTTGCTATCGTAAGAACTGAGTTCAGATCTTCTTTGGAATAAAAGGAGTTTTTTCCTTACCAATGTTTTGCTAGCAGGGTGATGCCGTTGCCAGAGAAACTGGGAAAGATCTCCTGAAACGGAGGTGAGTGTGTTACTTTTACCACCTCAGTAGATAGTCAGGCGGGACTTTTCTCTTTTCCTGGGGAATTCACCGCTAAACTGATAAAGAACCTAGGTGCAGCTATACCAGTGGGTCTTTAATACAGGTATGTACTATGGTAAATCCAGAGAGTGGTGCATAATGCAGTTAATCTAACAGAGTCAAGCCTAGGTGCGGTGTCCAGTGCTCTAAATGTGTGGATTAAGACAGCATTGTAGTATTAATCCAGGAGCTGTTAGTTTATGCGGTTTCCTTCTCAGTGTAAATCCATGATGTTGGAATGTTTTTGTACCGAAAGTAACTCCATTGAGTTAACTCTCAGGGAACTACACCCAGAGGTTTTACTGCACTGGAATAAAAAGCAACATCAATCACAAACAGAATCAAAACAAGAAGCAATAAGCAAAAAGATATCTTATAGCCACAGCTTAATAATACATTGTTACACCCCAAACTGTCAGAAGTAAATATTCTGAAGTCTGCACCCACTTAGATTTAGCTATCATCACGCAATGTCAGCAGAAATTAGGAAAAATAAATAACAGAACACCATGTTTAAAAAGTATTAGGTTTATGTATATCTTACATTGTGATTATTACATTAATCTGTTTCACGCAATAACTAAGGAAGACATATCTACAAAGCATTTTTTAATTATTCCCATAAAAAACATTCAATCCATGCTCCATAATCCATTTCTGAGCATTGTGAAATCACCTGTATTATACATAAGCCGTGTTTTCAGATAGAGTTTCTCGTACGGTAAGATGGTCAAAGCTGTTACAATTTCCCTAGCTAGTCCTGCATAGCTGTTTAATCTAGTTTGGTTTCAAACAGGAGTTTCAAAAATCCCGAAAACAAGACAAGAAAATAAGGAAAGATAACTAACAGTATCATACTAACAGTAGCAAACAAGATTGAACATTTGCTTTTCATGTAAACTGTAATAATATTACCACCAGCAAACAAGTTACACATGAACAGGACAACATCCACCCCTTTATTTTCTAGCCTCTTTATCCCACACAGGGTCGCAGGTGAGCAAGCAACAGGTACAAGGCAGGGTACAGCCTGGACAGGACATCGGTCCAGAGCTGGACACGCCCAGACACAAGGGCTAATCTCCCCAGACGCCTCGTGTAAAACATGTTAGCTAGCATACAGTACATGGGGTTATATGTTTTTGCAGAATTTGCTTCCATTTACTTCATAGTGTTCAGAGCAAAGAGTGGAATACCAGCGTGTCTCCCTGCATTGTCATTTTAGGCTCGGTCCTGCGTTGCCCGTTGCCTTATACTGCAATTGGTATGTGACATACAGTACACAGGGTGTGTGTCAGGTGCACAGTGCAATAAAATCACCAATTTCCCGTCAGAGGATCTGGATTTCCTGGGCAGAGTGTTGATCACAGCAATGTTTCCAAAGGGCACTGTAGTGTGGCAAATATCAGTAACAACAGTGGCCTCTTGTGCATTATGGCAGCTTTGAAAGTCACGGTGCCCCTCTGCCATTTGCAGCAAACCACTGACAATACATGACAACATAAATAGACGCGTAAGCCTCATCACGTGTATGTTGAGGGAAACAAGAACATTAATACAGAAGCCTGTGGATCTGTGCCATTCAGGGGTCCCTTTCCAGTCGCTTACTTCCTCTAGCAGTGGAGCTTTGCTCCAGTTTCACTGAAGCCTTCGTTGTGCAGGCCATGTGGCAGAGTTGCTGTCCAGAGACGGCCCTGCTCCAGGAGCCGGACCGATCGTTGAATAGCCGAGATCGTCGAGCTCCTGTCCAAGGGGCCTGGAGCACTGACGCTCGCTGAGGGGCATGAAGCCCAGATAGACGTACTGCGCCTGGAGCTTGGGGTCAGCTGCACCCTGGAGTTCAAAGAGACCACAGGGGGGCTCAAGGGGTCATCTCCCGATCTGCGCTTTCTCTGTACCCCCTGAGCCCTGACTCTGAGGTGCTATCGCAGGGCTAGGAGCATGCTAAGAACCTGTAAACATGTCTCTCGTTCTTTTCATCTTTTGACACTCTCCGAGCTTCACGGTGTCTGAACAGGTGGCACTGAGTAGCAACGCGTCTGACACTGTCATCGCTGTGAGCCTGCGGGCGCAGGGCAACTTTCTCAAGCTGCTGCTGCTGTCCCAACAGCTGAGAGAGTCCTGCCTGATTAATGCCCACCCTGCCTGACACAACTGCACATGAGCTCCATGGGGAATTCCTCCCAATGACACCCAAGCCACACTAACGACACGCAGGCTCAGAGGGCTTTTCTGCAGTTTGAGCCATCTGAAAGCTCTAAAGCCCAGCGTTCTGCTTTATTGAATGAGCTCCCGGAATTTCTGTAGCTGGTGTTCACAGCTCATAGTAAATGATGGGTGATGTGACTGTGCAACAAATACAAAGTAACCACTGAACCAGTATGACTTCAAAACAAAATAAATTTAGCTGTAATGTGTAATTTATGGGTGTCACTGTGAATGACCAAATTGGCTGAAGTCTTCAGGTAAAAAAGGACATAGTGTTATTTGTTAATAACTCCCATATGGGCTGAAATTTAGTTAAGAGTTAATTACCTGCTCGTCAATCACTTCGTTATAAACGTGTTCCTCTGTGAGGGGAAAAAATGGGAAATTTAACAAGAATGATGAAAAATAGACTAGCAGGCATTAACAAATCATCAATCTCTATTAAGCACAAAACAGTACTGACTGACAAACAACACCTAGATAATATTGCGCTCATTTGTAGCAATAAATCTTCACAGGTTTATAACTGATGACCCTACTGCATCTCTGCACGTGCTGATCAACAGGATGCAGGTGCTTTAATTTTTAATCTCTCTTTCTGGTGGAGTTAAATTACACAATAATTTGATGTCATTCCCTGTGAGTGCTCCTACCCATCATCTCGAGTCCCTGGTTTTCTCTGAGCCTCCTCCCTGCAGAAACAGCAGCACAAAGACAGAACCCACTGAAACGGTTGCTCATTTCAATATTTGTCGACAACGTCTCCCCTTTCTGTTTTATTGTGATATAAAGCAATTCACGCTTTGATAAAAAAAACAGCACAGAGTAACTTCTATTGGATAAGGAAGAAAAAATAAAATAACATAAAGTAAAAAAAAACTTTAAATCTATTTAAAAATCAAACTGATCAACAGTGCCCTACTTTAAAAAACAGTCAAGAATAAAAAAATTACCCATATTCTGAACATGTTCAGAGAGTTGTTATTTTTTCATGAATGTGATCCCAAAACATTTAAACAAATCATTCTGCCCCCCAGCTGTCTGTGCTCTTACCTCCTCTGCTTAGTTTGATTGAGTCTTTGTTCCAAAGATCTGTAAGGAATTCAGAGTTTAAGGGAAAGGACATTTACATTCCTGTCACAGATAAAAAAAACGACATTTCTTGCAAGCAGTTCTTGCAAATTGCAAACAGAAAAGGTGAAAATCCGAGTCTCTCTTACCTCTGAACCAATGCAGCATTTCTACCTTGCAAAAAGAAAAAAAAATCATCATCAAACCAGAATCACTGACAAAAATGACACTGACTGAAACATAGCATCTGCAGAAGCTTGTGAGTCTTACCCTGGTGGAATTTTCTCACACAGAAGACAATAACGCACAAACCCAACAAACAGAAGGATCCAGCTGCTATTGACAGGATAAATCTGGGCTGCAGGGCCAGTCCTAAGGTTTGGGAACAGAATGTGAAGTTCTCACCTGAGAAGAGAAGAAAAATATTTCATTATTCTAGTTCAAGAATTTACTGAAGGCTACGCAGAAGCGTGATTGCTCGGCGCTCTCTTCCTTTGGAAACAGGCTCTGAGGATTTTGCAGACAGCGTCTGTACAATGGTACATTGTGGCAGGCACAAGGACAACCAGGAAACTCCAGAATTCAAAACTAATATGTTTACTTTACTAATATGTTACTATAGAGTCTTCTATACCTGTCACAGAATCCTACAGTGGTTAATGAAATTAAAAAAGAAAAAATAATTCGAATGAGTTATAATTATAGACCAAGTCAGGGCACAGTCAGAAAAATATATTCAGTAAAGCTGGGGCAAATTATTATTGAAAGAATACCTCTTGGAGCCTATGACGGTTTTAGAAATGATGAAAGTGGCATCACAATTAAAAGAAAATCACCGATAGGGGGACCCTGCTAGGCAACATGATCAGAAAGATGTGTGCAAGTGATCTCTAAGATCTAGGCTATGTTTGTCAAAATGTTTCTGGAAATAAAAAATACAAAACTAAACAACAATGAATGACACTCCCTAAAGCCCTTAGATAAAGTGAAAAAAAAGACTTAAGCATTTAAATATAATATTATCCAAAAAAGTACCATAAAGAATGTGGGATTATTTTTAATGGCCATTTTACAAAGCATGCATTCTCAGTTTCTTACAGCCTTAACATACAGTACATAGGATGAGGCAGACGCAGACATCACGTGGCTTTTATTTATAAGAGTGACAGATCCTTCAAGGTTGAGTGAGTGTCCTTCAACGAGCACGGACTTTGCTTAAAAAGGTGATCCCATTTAGCAAAGGTGCAGTTTAGCTGATGTTCTCTATTGCTACAGTAGCTATGATGTTCCCTCTGCTCACATAAACTCAGCACTCTGCAGACTGAACTAAACAGGATGAGAACAGGAACAGGAATGACCAGACTGATTTAGTGTCCATATTGTCCCCTGGGAAATAAATCAGGTTGTAGTGACACCTACAGGACATAGCAGCACATACCACAGCCTCCACCAGAACGATGCTCACCAGTGAGCTGTATGTGAACTTCTCTGCTCCTCAGGATGTTGGCTGCCACACAGCTGTAGGACACACAGTCCGCTGCCGTCAGGTTGCCGATCTGCAGAGACGTGTTCCTGTCACTCACAGAGTGCCGGCCGTCCTGGGGGAGGGGCCTGCCATCCCTCAGCCACCAATAGGAAGCCCCAGATCCGCCTGTGACCTGGCAGGTCAGGGTCAGCCCAGCCTGAGAGCTGGGCGAGGAAATGGAGATTCTGGGCTCTGAGAGAGGGGCTGCAGGGAGACAGAAACAGCTCTCAGCAGAGGTTGACGTTATGTGGCAGAATGATTTTCTGACTTGAATAATACTTGCTTCTGGGTAAAAACAAGCAATACTCCATGATCTGTCAAGGCAGTTGAACAAGATACATAAAAGTTTACTTATAAATCCCATTAGTATGATTGCGTTTGTCTCTACTGCTCATGAAACAAATAAACTACTTGAGACGTACACCCAGTATACAAAAAAACATATCACTAAAACAAAATATATCTTACTAATTGCACTTTTTATTATTTATCTCTGTAAAAATGTCTTGATAGTAGTTCAGGTGGGTAGTTGCATCAGCATGCGCAGGCTGCAAAGGAACAAGTAATAGGTTTATTCCATGCTGAAAAAAAGAAGAAAGAGAACACAACGTTGTGCTGTGTTCTCTTTCACCACGGCCGAAACGTTGTGTTCTCTTTCTTCTTTTTTTCAGCATGGAATAAACCTATTACTTGTTCCAAAATGTCTTGATGTTCTTCTATAAAACTGAAAGAGAAAAATAAAAAAAGAAATACTTACGAATTATGGACAAACTCGTATTAATCCTAATCAGGTTTGAATTCTGTAGCTCCCAGGTGACCTCATAGAGACCCTCATCCTCCTCTGTCACATCCTTCAACACCAGAGTACTGTTATCAAGATAGTGCTGTATCCTTGTTTTGTACTGCCCAAAAATTATTGGGTCAGACTGGGAGTTATGCATTAGAATATTGACTGGATTGCTCCCAGTCATACTGATCTTCTTCCAGGTTACAGAAGCAACTGGGTCATTCTGGGCATGGAGACGGACAGCAGTCAGAGCGGCAGTTGTGTGCAGTTCAGCATAAAACCTTTCTTGGAGAGGAAGGGTCCAGGCTGAAAAAGAGCACAGAGGTTAATTCAAGCAACCAGTCCAACTGTAGTCCTTAGAGCGGTTCTAGAGGTCACATTACAACTCCAATTCCAGGTCATGATAAATCAGAAAGCACTCCTTCGCAGGAGGGAGTCAGCTATTCACTGGAGCGCCAGCGTTCTGTGCTGAATGATTGACTGTGAGCTTCACATGCTGGTCTCAACGTACTTAGTAAACACCAGAATTTGGGCTCTAAGCACATTTTTGGGGAGAGGAAGATTGAGGGAAAAAAAAAGTTAACAGAAACTAAGCGGAGTGGAGAGCCAGAATGTTGATTATTCAATTCCCTTGATGAACTGTGACTACACACACGTTTAACACAAAACTGCATTTTTTTTTCTGTGCCAATTATAAATCTAAAAACTTGCATGTCTTTGTACGAATGAGCTGAACATCCGTTGACGTAGTTGCATATGATACTCAGCTCATGATTTCCTATGCTTACTTTACATTTAAATTCCTATGTTTATTTTATTCCTTTGTTTATTTAAAAAATAAGAAAAATTTTTGGACAATTTAAAAGTATTACTGTTTTTCAAATATTAAAGTGTTTTACATGTAGAAATGTTTGATTCATTTTTACTCCAAGACGAAAATCCCCCAGTGCCTAATCACAAAGTTAACGCTAAGTGTCATGAACATACAAGTCAAGAAAAACATTTTCACACAGAAATGTTTAAAGAACTAAAACGGATATCAGTCTGAACTGAGTATAATGTGGCCAATTAAAATTGGGGAAAATAAAAGGGACAAGTAAAGCCTTTCTGTGTGAAATGAAATAAATGAATAAATGAAGTTCAATTTCTTCTGGCACACGGCACATTGCCAACTTCCTAAAGTTCAGAAAGCTATTTATCCATATGTCCACAATATGAAAATGGCATCTATACTGTATATATTTAAAAAATGTAAAGAATTATTTTATGTGTGAACAACTTCAAAGCTTAACTAGAGTGCATGTTTAAAGTCATATCTTAATTCACTTTGCTATAAATGACTGCTTTTTTGTTTTTCTTTTTTGTTGGTTGTAATGAATTTAAGTTAAGCCATCATATTTGCTCTAAATGTACAATCTTAAAATGTTTACAACAGAGAAAAGTAAACAGCTTATTTAACTCTTGATGAAATTCCTGCCCAAGAATTAAATAAGCCGGTGCAATGTCTGTATTGCTGAAACAAATGCACCTTTCTGGTCCACACGAGGAATTAAAACTACATTGTGTGACTATCGGCACGGAGAAAAGCATGTCTTTCTCTTTGTACTACTGGAGTCTTCAGAAACAAGGCAGAGGCACTGAATTGAGAACAATTCAGGTCCGATTTTACAAGATCACTGGGCATTTTCACAACTGCCTGTATTATGTGGGAGAAACTATTTCGAGTGATGCAAAACATCAAATAAAACAAGTAAAATGTTAAATAATTACAGTGGTTGTTATTTTTGGAGGTAACAAGGCAGAAAAGCTTTTCTAAATATGATAATTACGTAAAGTAGGCTATTTATTTCTATGTGGTACTGTATTTATATTACATTAAAATATATGTGGGAGCTTTTCTTTCTAGCTTTCCTTCTTATTACTAAAAGCTGATATCCAGCACACCAAGATACTGCACATATCGAAGGACTGCTTCAAAATACAATGACACCAACAGCTCAGATCAAGAAGTGTCGCCTGGAAACTGTACGATCTTATATCGAGGGGCTGTGTTGGGAAATGCCAAAGAACTGTAAGGTAATTTTAGTGAAAATTAAGAATTTGATTACAGATTCCTACATTTCAATCCCCAAAAAACAGTGATTCATTTGGCAGCTGTAATAAGATGCTGAGCTAGCAAAAAAAAATGATTTTGGTAATGTTAATAAATTCAAATACACAAAAAAGATTGAAAGTAATGAGCATGAAAATAAAGGTAAAGGTGTGGAGTTGTATTTTCTTGTACAGGATTATATTACCTATTTAGAATGTAAAGGCTATCAACATGAAGCGAAATTTCCATATCTTTATATAACAAATCACAAAGCTGGCAACTTCAGTACTCTGTGACAAAATACGCAGAGTGAGACATTATTTTGCGAGGCAAATTAAAAGACAAACTGAGCATTTGAAATTTTAGAAAAAAACAAAAGATGTTTAATTTTGAAGATGAGGGCTAACTTTCAAAACATGTTTGAAACGTCACACATTAACACATTCATGAAAGTATTCTATGTACAGATGAAGGAGATAACAACCAATTAAAAAAAGAAAAGTTTTGAGGATACAAAATATGGCAATGGTATCCAACGAATTCTGATTTGACTTTAGTTAACATATTCTTAACGTTTATTGATTTTATGCTACAACGTTCATTTGGGGTTGTTTTTCAAGTACCCTTAATAACTAATAATAAGCTTTAGTTACAGTACTATATACTGTATGGTGCCCAATATGCTGAACTAACTTCTGATTGTCTCTACAGAAAACCCTAGAAGGCAGTTGAGTTGTCTGACCTGTTTTCCCAATCCAGGACAACAGCAGAGGCAGAAGCAGCAGCAGACAAGCTAGCTCAGGACAGTCCCTCTGCTGCAGCCTGCTCAGACGTCCCCCCCAGGCCTGCCGGAGACCCTCCAAATCCATGGCAGAACCTAGCAGCTGGAGGGATGCGTGAGGCTCTTCAACGGTATCTGGCTCCTACATGCATCTCCAGTTCGCGACGCACTGCTGAAAGCAACAGGCTGCAAAACCCAGTGAGACGCAGTTATCCCCCTGCTGATTAAAAAACCACAGCACGCCGCAAACAGGAAGGAAAAGCAGTAAAGCGCTACCGTTTTGAACTGAAAGATCAATGAAAAAATGCTGCCCATCTTTTTCCACTATACCACCTTCTGTCTGAAGGTCACCTTCTCAGTGGTGGCCTATATTCAGAGAGGCTCTGGGTCGGCTCTTGTTTGAACACAGCAGACAAATAGTCTATTTTCCTTAAGAATGAGTGCACATTCAATCGTGCTTCTAGATCTTTGCAACTGGTCTGAGACAGAGCAAGGGTTTTGCAATTGTGCTGAATGAAACAAACAGGTCAAAAGATTTAGCACTTTAAATTGCAAATGCTTATTTTTGCTCATGCTGCAACACACAGGCTGCTTCTTACTGTATGAGTTCAGAACACAGACACCTTTGCGCTTTCCTGTGTTTCTGCCATTCTCTTGACAAATTTATTAACGTCAGGTGACCTGCCCCTATGAAGATTATTTGCAACCCTATCTTTAGGGAGCCAATATTGTGCCTTAATCTTTGTTATTTATGTAAAGCCAGTCAGTCAGCACTGGTCTGTCTTCTGTGCAGTCCATTCTAAGGAGAATCTGTTGCAAGACAGTTGCTAGTCTTTTGCAAGTGTCATCTTCAACACTCTCCAGTATAACATGTATTTTCCACAGCCAGGTGTCAAGTAGTTAACTTGCGATTTGTGGACCTCGCAGTCACCAAAGACCTTCTAAGATTTACAGGCCCTTAGAAACCCACAGCCCTATTAGCCTGCTAGTCTCTTTCATGCCAGTGAGTTCACATTCCCAGATTGAGTGCATCTTATTTAATTACCATCAGAAGTATGGAAAGGAATCTGTTGGCTGCTTTCTGACTTGACTTGGCAGGCCTACCACACAGTACTTACCTGAAGTGTGGACAAACCAGGTAACAGACGTATAATAAATCAGGCGGGAATGATTTTATTCCACATGTTCTTGGTCACAAAGAAATGACAGCATCAGTGTTGGCCATTAAGGCATTAGTTGAGAAATTAAGATGTGATCTTTCAAGCTCTTCCGCCATGCACCCAACACAAGTAATGACATTTGAAGATTAAAGAAAAACATATTTCGTTAGAACTGATACCTCTAACACTCACTGCTGAATAAAAACAGGAAACTTCACCAAAATACAGCCTCTCTAGCATTGCATTTCTTTATAAACGGTTCCAAACTCACTAGTTAAAACACTTATTAGATTCCGTGAATAACATTAAAAGTGAAAAAGAGGGAGATTCATACAAAAGCATTGAAAGCCGCATTAATATTTTCTGAAAACATACTGTCTGGATTAAAGCAGATGTTCGAGTGGGATATTTCATGAAACCAAAGAAATGAGGAAAAATAACATCCAGAAACACCAATCTGCACAGGCTAGAAAACTAGGAGAGTTTTGTGGAGTGTTCCAGGGTAGAGTCCCTATGAGCCGATATAGCTTCCATTCTCACACGTTAGCTTGTACTTCGTGCACCAGACAAGACGGGCTGGAAAACACTGCGGACTCCAGATCACAAGTCCAACCTGTGGACAGACATACAGTACAGGGCTGACATACAGGACCAGAGCCACAACTCTGCTCCTACACATTCTGCACTACATTTAGATTGCTTGATGATTGTGCAACATTAAAAGATGCGCTACTCACAGTTGTATAATACAGTATGCGTACATGCAAGCACAAAATTCAAAACAGGGAAGGAAAAGAATTGCAGAAAACACTGTCAAATCAAAGAAATGCACACAGTTCCACCAAAAATATTCTGTTTTCACACCAAAACTGCTGTGAAACTCAGCAAATAATGTCTTCTTCATGTAAGAATCAAAATGGAAGAGAGAGCCAACCAAGGAGAGTGCAGAGTGTAATACAGCAGGCCTGTGAGCAGCAGGGCAGACATGCAGGCTTCTAGCTGCACTTCGGCCTTTCAAACCGCAGCATTGTCAATAACACAAGTAGAACGCAACCGCAGGTATTATAGGGGAAACTAGCAAACACTTGTTGCGTAATTACTGAAAAAAATGTTTCTGTGATTACTAAAAATGTAATCACAAAGAAACCAACACGCAGTCTAAAGACAGCGATACTTCAGACAAGGCAGATGGTTTAAGGGCCACGCTCCTCCTGATGATGAAATTCTGCGGTGTCTGATGATGGTGCGATTGCTCGACAAGCAATGGCCAAAGAACCTCAGAGGGGTGTGTGATGCATTGCTTGAGTATGAGAAGGACAAAGATTTAATAGCAATGGATCAAAAAGATCACAATGCTTGAGGACGCGTGCAGTGTCAGTCATGGGATTAGCAGGTGCTGCCTGACGGGGGGTGACGGTGAAGCTGTCTTACTTGGGTGGCCCGTGGCACGGTGCCCAGCTGGCTGCAGAAGACGCTGGCCAGGCAGGGCGTGCTGCGCAGGAACCTCATGGCATGAGAGAAGCAGGTCGAGGTGCAGAGCTGCTCCACCGTGTTGGAGCAGTGCAGCATACGGTGCGTTTTCACCGTCTTAAAGGAGTGAATCCGCGTTTAGGGCCGGGAGCCTTCGTCCAGCACGTAAAACGAGCAGGTGCACCTGCAGCACAGGGAAAGGAAGCCGCCAGTCAGAGAAGAGAGCCCTTCTGTTCTGTTCATTAACCAGGGGCTCCGCCTTCCAACAGCAGAGCCTCATCCCGACCGTCGAGCATGAATTTGGTGTGGCTTCAGCACATCCTGGAGCAGAATATTAGGTATATTTTTACCTTGGTTTTGTCCTCGTATGTGCCCTAGTGGAGCGCAACTGTGCTAAAGCCATAGAAAACTACAGGAAACACTCCAGTAAAGCCACAGTAAAAATGCAAAAATACTACCCTGACATTACCAAGGCAAACATTCATCAGGGTAATTCTCACCCACACATCACTGCAAGTGCACCATGATCATCCCCCTCCCCACAGTTTTGTACTTCACTCCATCACAAGCCTAATAGCACAAGTAGGTTATTTGAGTGTCTAAAGTGTCTTAATTCAAACCACAGTCTCCTGTCTGTTCCTGTTCACCAGTGCCTCCAGCTCAAACTAGTCCCCCCTTTACTCCCCACCAGTTGTCTCGCAACAGGAGAAGCCTGCGAATCAGGTCACCTCAGGTACAAATCTGCTCACCTTTTCTTCGTACCAAAGAAGTCCAGCCAGCGGTTCTTCAGATCTTTCCTCCTGCTCACCAGCATCTCTGCGTCTAGTGACTTGGATTGAGACCCAGCGTCCAGGGCCAAGATGAAGGTGGCTACGGCCAGCCCTGTCCAACCCCGGGGAGGAGAGTAGTGCGAGAGATAAGCCATCAAGACGAACGGATTTTACTCACTGAGCATAAACAGAATAAAATATCTACTTTTCCCTTTTCTCTAACTCTGTATATTTATCTATACTTCCAAGTACTGGCTTATTTGATGTGATAACTAATATACTGTATGTAAAAAGATTTTGGAAGAACATCATGTAGCATGCACACTACAGGTGTACTGGACCTCTCTCTATATAAACAGTGTATGCATTCTGCCACAGAATTCTTACTGTAGCGTATGAAGATATTTAAACTATTGCATACAGAACGTGTATACATATCCAGTACTTCTGGAAAATAGGGACCTATTCTTTTTGCATTAAGTGATAATTGCAAGCACTAATTAATTATGTAATTCTTCCAGCCTGTTATAGTGAAATTACCAGAGGAAAACACTGCAGGTTTGATGTAGCTCCAGTTATCTTTATGGCTGACTAACATGTCCACAATATATACACAATCATATCTTAAAGTTACTCCCAGCATATATCTGATTTTCAAACAGATGTTTCTTAGTAAGATTTAAGAGGCACAATGAAGGGATGATGTTTCAATTTTCAAAACAAAATCCATGCGCAAGAACCACACAAAGAAAAGAAACGCAGAACAGAACTATAGTATAAATTGAAATGTCAAGCTTTTCAATGAATTGTTCATAATAATAATGAACAACTTATTTCCATTTCAAAGCAATGATGTTTTCATTTGCTAGGATTGTGTGGGCATTTCGCTGAAGACAACATCCTGTGTTCCAGCTGCAAGCTGAAGGAAACAGAATATTAAGAGAGGTTAGACGACAAAGAAAACTCCTCCATACCTGTTAAGATTAAGTGACGGCTTTTCCCAATCATATCCTGTCCTTAATAATTAAACATCCGTACAATCATGTAAAACACAAGTTGAAACTGAGACAGCTCCTCAAACCTGGATTCTGACTACACGCTGCCACCGAACCATTGCGTTTAATGGGAAAGGCCAGTAGGTCCAATCAGATCTGGTTTCCAGTGTTACGGCACTATTTCTGATGCACTAACAGGGGCAGCAGGTAAAGCAGTTCTCTGATAGGGAAGCTCTGGTGAACAGCCAGGCAAATCGGCTCCTGCAGAAAAACAATGACTGTCTCTCAGGTCAGGGACACACGATGAAAGCACAATGGTTAAGAAAGTAGCCTGAAGTAGATAGGAGCTAAT